TCTAGTAGATAAATATAATATAAGTCATCTAGACTTCTTATTCTACTGGCTAGAGAGCTTTAGAGAGTATACCTATATAGTGACTACAGTTAGATGGGATATAGTGATTAATATGGTTATTAAGGCCTAAATAGACCTGGTTAACCACCTCTACTTTATAGCAGTGGATATCATAGAGTGAGGTAGATACACTAGGGTGGTAAACTATTATAATAGCTGGTTAGAGATCTCTTATATATACACTGGCATAAGCTAGTATAACTAGAGAGCTCTTATAGATATGAATTAAGATCCTATTCTATAGGATAGGTGCCTAATTCTTAGAGATTTTAATGCCTATAGCTCCTTATAGAATGTCCTAAATTTAATAAGGAAAAATGTGGAGATCCTAGAGAGGCTTATTAATAGATATGGCCTATTTATTAACAATGAACTTAACATGCCTATAAGGCCTTATAAGACCTAGGTTTCTTAGGGAGCAATTAGAGATAAGAAAGAGCCTAGTATCTTAATTATTGATCTCATAATTAGTAATAAGGTGCTAGAACTACTAGATAGTTGGGAAATTAGGCAACCAGGCCTAACTATATTGGACTATCTAGTTATCTAGGCCTTATAGGAGTCTTAAGAAGAAGAATCTAATTTCTAAGAAGTAATAGTAACTAAATAGAATATTAGTGTTCTAATAAAGGATATAGAGAGGATAGAAATAGTAGAGTATATCTAGAAAAGATTTATAAGTCTTTATCCAAGCCTAATAGATAACTGCTCTTTAGGAGATATTAAAAAAAAAACTATATTAGTTAAGAACTCTCTTATTAGAGTGCTTAGAGTATATATCTAGAAAATTAGACTCTATATCTGATTAAAGCGCTAGTAGGGCCCTTAGATAATTAAGGCTTGAAGAATTTATATAAAGATTTATAAAATATATTATACCAAAGAGCTCAGTGAGATAAACTATTAAGAAGCCTAGAAAGCCTACTATACTATTATATAATAAGTAAAAAGAGAGTGTTAAGAGGCTTTCTTATAGAGAATAGATAAGAGCTCTAAGATAGAAGAAAAGTGGTATTAGATAGTATTATATTATATTAAATCTATTACTAATAGTATTACGCTAGCTCTTCTATATCTAGATATAGGGGAGGTGGTAGTAGTAATATTTAATAAGAAGAAGGCTTTCTTTAGGGAGCAGGCCTTTCCATAAACTTTAGAAGATAACGTCAAGATGGATCTTCTAGGGCCTAGAAATGTCTATAATTTAATAATAGAATTAACTATATAGAACGCAATTTTTAACTAGAGGATTAAAAAGGCTCTAGAGATTAATTTACTTAATTTCTATACTATCTAGCTACTTTAGTAATTAGATTAGGCCTAGGTAATAGTGCTAATTAGATAATATATTAGATTTAGAATATATCCTAGGACCTAGAAAACTATTAAAGGGATGCTTCTATAGAAGCCTAATAAAAGCTGCTATATAATAGTAAAGTACTATTAAGTTATAAGCCTGCTTAAGTATCTAGGTAAGATAGTAGAGAAGCTAGTAGTAGAATTTATTACTAAATTTGTAGAGTCTAGGGGGTTATTCTATAAAGACTAATTTAGTAGGCGCTAATAGTGTTTTATGGTGAATGCTATAGTATATCTTATAGGCAAGATTGAGTATACTTAGGGGAACTATGAGATTGGGGTATGCTTATTTATGAATATTAAGGGGGCCTTTAACTATATGATGGGGAGTAAGCTTATAGGGGGTCTCTAGGAGGCTAAGCTAGATAGGGATTTAATATATTGGGTGGCCTTCTTTTTAATAAATTAATAGGCGTTTCTTGTTATTAATAATTATCTAGGTCTAGAGGCCCTTATTAACTCTAGCTTACCCTAGGACTTACTAGTATCACTAATCCTCTTTATGTTATATATATAATTGCTAGTAACTATTATTGAGATCATAGTTCTAGGTATTAAAGAGCTATTCTTTATAGATGACTAGGGGCTTATTATAGCAGCTAGATTAATATAAGAGGCCTGTAAGACTCTATAATATACTACTAAAATAGTAATAGAATAGGGGATAGAGAATAGAGTCTAATTTGATCTAGATAAAATAGAGCTGGCCTTCTTTATAAGAATATATAAGAATTAATTTAGAGAAAAGATTAGAGGTGCTAAGATCACTGTTAGAAGAATTACTACTAAGATAATATCTAATATAGTATGCTAGTTAGATATAATATTAGATAGGAAGCTTATCCTCTAGTGCTACTATATAATATATTTCTAGAAGACTATAAGCACTAAGACATAACTCTATATGCTTTATAAAGCTAATAGCCTTATCTTAGAGCTCATCTAGAGACTCTAGTGAGCCACTATACAAGCTCAAGCTCTCTGGGGCTTAGAGCTCTAGTGGTAGGGCTAAAGAATATAGGCTTAAGGCCTATAGTGCCTTATTAACCGCTAAGCAAGATCTATTACAGGCATGCTCCTAAAAGCACCAATAGGGGCCCTAATTAGGAAGGTAGCTCTAGAGCTAGTAAGTGTGCTATTAGATATAAGAAAAGTAAGATATGTGGTAAGGCTTCTAATATTATCTAATACATACCTAATAGTGTAGTTGCTCCCGGTTATACTCTGGTATGGAGACGCCTATGTCTAGCCTAGAGAGTAGCCCTTAGATAACTAAGAATAGGCTTAAAATAGGACTCAAGCGCCTAAATAGATAGGCTAATAACTAGTAAAGCACCTAGCTTAATACCTAATTAAGGACCTATTAAGAGGGATTGAACATACTATGGAATGGGCATAAGAGGCCTTTCCTAGGTTTATCTAGGTTGCTGGCATAGAGATAGTGTTGTGAGAAGTAAGTTAATAGTGTCTAAGAACAACCCTCTAGTTGGATAGCTCTAAGTAAGAAAATAGGTGTATTGGTACGGATATAGTGCTCTAGCTAATGCCTGGAGCTCTATAGGAGAGTTTAGAAGTGCCTATAGGTACTAGATATAAGATTTTTGATATGGAATTGGTAGTGGTTGCTTTAGTATTAGAATGGATACTAGATAGGCATCTTCTAGGGCCTATTTATGTCTTTCTTGATGCTTAGAATGCCATTAACTGCCTATAAATAATAAAACTAGGACCTGGATAGGCTCTAGCTCTTAGAGCTTATAGAGTAGTATTATATCTAGCCTCTAGTGGTTGTCTAGTAACAATATAATAGATGTCTAAATATAGTGGAGTAGAAGGAAATAAGCTTATAGACTAGGCTATTAAACTTGCCGCTATTAAGTCTATAGAGCCTAGCTATAAAGGCCTATTATTAGTCTAGATTAGATATATCTACACTAAAATAAAAAACAAAATAATATAAGATTAGGTCTATAAGAATATTATTTAGGGAACTTACTAGTAAAAAAGAGCTTATAGAATATTAAAAGAATAAATATTAGATAGAGCTATTAGGAAAGTACTAAAGTATCTAGCTAGCTATTACTATTAATTAAAGACTAGATATATCCTAATAGGCTTATATCTATACAAAATTAGTACCTAGGACTCCTTAGAGTGTAGAGCCTATAGTGTACTAGAAGAAATAGCTTTTTATATTTTTTTTAAGTGCTATAGATACTCTAAGCCTAGAAAGGCCCTCTATTAGAAGCTTATTAATACTAGAGTCCTCTTATCTATAGTAGTAGAGGATATTTTAGAGATATATCTTTTTAGTAAATCTAGAGCTATATCAATGCTGCTCTAGTTTCTTAGTAGTATTAATCTCTTTAAGAATAGTATTTAGAGTGCTAAAGAAGTAGAACTAAAGAACTAATAGAGATAAGAAGCCCTAAGGGAGTGGGAAGATAAGAGAGTAGAATAGAGGAATGAATATCTTAATACTTAAGCATAGCTATTAGAGCTAATACTCGCTAGGAGTACTCCTATATTGGAAATTATAAGGGATTCTTATAGGTATGGAGGCCTATAAGTATGCTTAAAAGTCCCTAGCGGATGCGCTGTATAGGGGTGAGATTAAAGCCTAGATTAATATACTGTTGGGAACTCTTAGGGGTGAGCCTCTAGGCCTTAGGGCCTAGGGCCTTACCCGGCATGTATCTGTCATAACCCATAAGGTTACATATAGACGTTAAATATGAATAATAATAATATTTAATTAAATTTAGTATAATTCTAATAAATTTTATACTATTATAGCACTATTATTTAATAAATTAAAATATTAATATTAAAATTACTATATTAAATATTATAATAATAAAGAAAAAAGCTATATAATATTTAATTCTATTTAAGTTAATTACTTAGATAAAATTACACTAAAATAAATAAAATATAAATATTTAATTTTTAATTTTTAAATCTTTTTTATTTTTTCTACTCAGCCTAGGTAACAATAAAAAATAAATCAATTAATAGCTTATTTAAAAGGCTTTTAAATAATATAGGTTTCAAGACTAGAGCTCAACCCATGGTGGAGGCGGACATCTCGGAAATGCCCTTATAGACTTAATAGTACTAGATTCTATCTAATATTATGCAGATTAGTTTCATAATAATAATAAACACCTTTCTTTAATAGTACTAGATTCTGCCTAGTATTATGTAAGTTGGTTTCGTAACAGATAGTTAGTATCCCCTATTGGGCCCTAGCGCAGGGTCGATTTCCGAGGGCCAGTGGGGGCAGTGACCGTCACTGCGTGGGAATCTACCGGGTAGTAACAGTTGTGGGTCAAGAATGCTGTACACCGACCTTGACATACACTGATATGAAATTCTGAAAATGATTATTGATTAGTATACCCTAGTTTACGATTACCGATTGCTTACAAATCTCAATAAATATACGAGACTAAGTCTACGTGACATTAAATTAGTTATTAAAGGTAAAACGTCATTGTCTGCTTCTACAGAAACAAATCCTGGTTTCCGCCACCCTAGTCGATACATAGAATATTATCACGAGGCCCGAAAACTTCAATATGACAAAATCAATTTTGATTATGACTGTTACTGGTAATCAGGTATAGAACAGTTCATTTTACATGACGAGCCCAGTCTACACTCATCTATGTACTCTATGGTGCTGACTTCGTTACGTAGGGGTCGGCGGTCGCCGATGTGTTTCTCAACAAGCCGGGATGGAAAGTCAAGGGTCTAACACGCAATCCATTATCGCTTGGAAGTCAAACCCTGGGTGATAGGGGTGTTGAAATCCTTCAAGGAGATGTCAACGATGTTGACTCGCTCAAAGCTGCTTTCCAGGGAGTAGATGTCATCTTTGGCAACACTGTATTCTCTGACGCTATGTCAAATCCAAACAGCCCAGATTTGGCCTTATTGAAACCCGGTCAGAATACGAGAGTGTTGAGTTATGACTTGGAGCTTCAACAGGGCAAGAATATTGCGGATGCGGCTGCAAATGTTCCCTCACTTAAAAGGTTCATTTGGTCTTCGCTTTCCGATGCCACTAAGTGGAGTAAGGGAAAATATAAGGGCGTGTATCATTTCGACTGCAAAGCCCATGTCGAGGATTATATCAGTAGAACGTATCCCGAATTGGCACAAAAGACGTCTGTCTTACAGATGGGTTTGTTCATTACAAATTGGAAATGGGGAAGGACATCCGTTCCTTGGCAGAAGGTTTGTTATACCACCAAGATATGCACTGCATGAATTGTTGATAGGTTTCTTCTCAGTTACCCGATGGAACCATGCTTCTGAAGATACCCGGTAGTGGCAATGAGCCGATCCCGTTGGTCCATACACAAGACACCGGGAATTTCGTGGATGCCTTACTGAATCTTCCAGCAGGCACGAATATGCTTGCATTCGGTGACCGTCTGACATGGCCGGACTATGTGAAACTTTGGAGCGATATAACGGGTATTCCAGCAGTTTTTGAGAAGACTACTGTCGAAGAACACAGCAAACTAGCCCCTGCAGATCATAGCGCAGAAATGGCTGAGATGTACGGCTACATGCAGGAATTTGGATTCCACGGAGGAGATCCGAGCGTCTTGTACTCTAGGAATGTACGTATCTTCCGCCTGGAGACAAAAGCTAAGTCTTGAACTGTCCACTAATTTGATAATTTTAGGTCAAACCTGAAATCCCATGCACGCGTGTTGCCGATTACATCAAATCAGAAGACTGGTCACATGTAGGGGATCCTAATATCACAAAGTAGCTAATTATCTATTTATCTAGCCTGTGTTCTCAATGCCCAGGCAAACTGATTGAAACAGAAATATTTCCACCGAGGTTTGCTTGGAGATATTGGTGAGATTGTAGGCGGGAGGGTGGGGGGGTGTCGAACCAGGAAGGTTGACGGCATTTTACGGCACCTGAAGTACCATTTGTCAACAAGCCGCACCAACTAGCGGAGATACTGCCTTTTGACTGCAAATTCATAGATATTATCTTTCCTTCTCGCTTTCTCGAGTTTGACAAAATTGCCTTAGTATGGGTTTTCCTGCAGTTTTAAAATGTTTCCCCCATGCTTCGATGCGAATGCAAAGGCTATCAAACGAAATAAAAACTTCATAAATATGAAATCGGTATCTAAATGCACTTCATTGACGCAGCTTCTTTCATACAACCATATAGGGCAAAAAAAGTCCTCAGTGATGGCGTATCGGCACGTGACTCTGACCAGTGCAAAAATTGTATTTACGGCAACTTTGTTCATGTTGTGGTCCAACGACTATTGCCTAGCCGCTATCTCTGCTAGTATAGCTGTAACCCATTTAAGAAGGAAACTGCAAACTTTCACGATATCTAGGCATAGCAATCTACGATCTAACAGAGCGGCAGGCTACGCCGCATAAACACTCCCATCAGGCGGTGTCTGAACAGTCCAGCGAGCTGATTTGGGGCGGATTTTACGCCATTGATCTTTGAATAACCTGCTGCTGCGACAGCAAGGCCATGGGCTTGGCCGTGGTGAACTTGTGATGTTGCCAAATATAGTAGTAAACTGGAGCTCAGACGATACTTCCCTCCAGGCATTCAAAGAAGTCCACCGAAGAGTGGTTTAAACCTGATACGGCTGATCGCCCTTAAGCTTAAGACTTCCCAGCTTTGGAAACTAGCGGGGCACCAGGACCTACGATATATTAATGGCTAAGCTGAGATTAATAGGGTTGCCAGCCGCAAATAAAGTACTTCATGACGAGAAGCATATGTACGTTAAGTTAGTATGTAAAGTCAAAATCATGACCGGACGTATATAGAAGAGTAACGGTGGCCATATTTGCTGGGGTTTGAGGTTAATTGAAGCGTATGGTAACGAATCTACCGGTGCCTATAGCGACCTTAACGACAGAAATCGTATTTTACAAATTTTACATTTTTGTGACTGAGTGTGACTATGAGGGTGAAGACGTCAATGACAAGGCAAAAGTTTGACAGGATTCAGGCCACTTCTATCTGCCAAGCCGTTCCTTCACAATGGCCCCAGGCTCCCAATATACGATTTACGAATCGCGTATTGCAGTTGCACCATTTAGCAACTGCTCCATTGGCTTTACTGCATTTTTGGCTAGCAGCGTATAGAATACATTAATTAGGATTAGAATACAGTGAATGCTGAGTAGGGTCTTGTAAGGAATAGAGAGCTGCACAGCAAGGCAAAGCTAGGCAGGAGAGACAGGGGGAGACATACGGTATATTGATAGATAAGTCGTGCCAAGACTTATTTTTGAGCGTAAAGGTCACTCAAGCATAAGCGTTGTGGTATTTACACTACGAGCCTTAAGCCTCAGAGCTATCTTTTCTCGATGTGGTATTTATCCCGCTGTTTTTCCTGTATGAGAATAGGATAGTTAGATGACTAGGGCAGTTCATTGACAATAAGATAATAAGACTAAGACTCTTGGAAGACATCATCCTGCTGGAGATGGCACGAAAGGAGTCGATCGCTTCATAGCGTCTCTCTACGCGCCAGTTCTGCAGCGAGCACATTGGTGTCCCAGAAAGTCTTTCCCACAAAGTACTGCAGTCCATCTGTACCCTGACCGTCAATCTCACTTGGCCCAGACACAAATTCGATGGTTCTTCTAACAGGAATACCCACCGCCTTCAACTTCCCTTCCCTCTGATAAAACACTAAGTCCTGCTGATGGATTAAGCAATCACCCTTCTCATGCCCTCCGTAAATAACAGTGGAAATACGGTTCTCAGGTACAACCCGTGCATAGATGCCAAAGAGCGCTGGGCTCTTCATCCATTCCCATATTTCGGCTCCGCTAGAGTAGGTTTCTCCCGTGTTGGCATGGAATTCGGCGCTTGGAGCGAACCAGTCGTGATAAGAGCCGGAGAAGTCACAGCTCTTGACCATTGCATCATACTTTTCAAAAAAGCTTAGTACCGCGATCTCCCGCGACTCTTCGTTCCATTCGCCATAGTGTGTGACTGCCGCCGACGAAACCGTCGGTCCTCGTTGTACTTTGGCCATCTCAAATGTTCTGCGCCACTGTTATCAGCCTCCTATAAAATACACATTAAGAATCGAATTGTCTCATCAGGTACCTTGAAGTAAATAGGATGTTGAATGATGTTAATTTTGGTTCGCGCAAGACTACGGTTCTTAGAGTAGGATGCAAATTCAAATCAGACACGGAAGCTAGTTAGTTCATCATGCTGCAACACTCGAATCTAGGCCAATATATACATTCAGCTAGCTTAAGCTATTTGTCTAATACTAGTTCGATGACACCATAATTAATTATCAAGCAACCATTAAAAATGATTACTTTTCAATCTTGACTGGTCTCAAATAGGCAGGATCAGCGCAGAGTTGAAACCAGGACCCAAAGGGGAAGCTAGTTCATAGTGTCACGCGTGCTCCGTATAATACACCACATAAGCACCGACTGGCGAGGCTTGCACTATGCGAGTTGATTTTATTTTCAGTAATCAGTCCTACCCATCTCGCGCTTGTACTCCCTGATAATGAAGCCAGCAACATGCCGCCTCTCGATGCCGCTCTGTCGTAGAGGGTTGCGTGGCTTGCAAGCGGTGTCCTATGCTGCGGACGAAATGCATGTTGTCGCAATGATATTTCTTTACCGTGCGGGATATATGCCATCATTGCAATAGTAAGAAATAATAGGTACTAGATGCTTTCACTTAAAAAAAGAAACCCACGATATTCTACGCAACATCATTCAATAAGCATGAACGTCCGGCTTTTTCAAGTAACGGCTTCTTATCTCATTTCCACGCAGCCTCTGCGTAGGCAACCTGCTCCTCAACATATCTCTGCAATTTACTTTATCCTATTCACCGCTAGAAGAGGGGCTAGGTTTCGATTCCAAGCTATCATCATCAAATGATGCCATCGCTACCGCCCCAGAGCTTCTACATCGACAGCGTCTAGCCTTGCGTAAAGAATCAATCTGCTTTTTACTCCTCTCTGGCACTTCGGGCTCGCTTTACAGGTTGCTGTCGGTAGCGTTCTCTGACCTAGATAGAGACAAAGGCGGATCGTTCAACTTTCGGTTTTTGTGATCAACCAATTTATGTTGTAAGCGCGTGTGAAGCTTTGTGTTCTCAGACGTCGAGTCAGATATACTTTCTAGCCCTGGGCCATATTCCTCCCTTGAGTTCTCTCCATCATCTCGTAACCTTGCTCTATAAAAATCTGATGCACTCCTGTTCATAGGCTCGAAATCTGCTTCTGAAGCGGCTGAGTCACTACTGGGCAACTTATGCAACGAATCGGAAGATCACGAGACCCTAGAAGAGTAAGACTTTGACTCAAGCGACGGCGACGGMGACGGTGACCACCTCCATGTGCGGAAGACTATTCTAATCACCGTCGCGCTAGTCTGCCTACAGTTCTAGGCCTGCTTGATGTCGAAGAGCGCTAGCCATTGGCGGGGKTGACAATTGGCAGCGCTGGGGCGTTAGCGTTCGAGCGGAGTGGAGAGAGCCCTGGTAGCAGCATTGATGATTACTCAGCAATAAGAGGCGGAAAGGGGGCAACTGCAGCGGTCATGCGGGCCTTTATTACCGCAAATGCCGCAAATGTTCACGCTTCTGCTTCATCGTGACGTACTTAATAAGCTCGATATGTGCCGGGGAAGGGGGGATGGGGTTATGTGGTTGGTGCGGATGAGTTAGAGAAGCCGTGCTGTTTTTAGATTACTATACCCTTTAGCGCCACAATCGCAGAGTGGACGGTTCTCACACCTATGAAATAGAGGAGCTGGAGCTTTTCAGATAGTCAACCAACTGCCAACGGCATCCATTTCGGCCGGCAGGATCCCTCCTCTTGGATCTGACGGCTCTATTAATTGACGCTTGGCCTAAACAGCAGTGCAATTTGCGATTACAGGTTAAGTTAAGTTACGCTGTCAGGTGTATTGATTTACAGGTTTGATGTTGAAGAAGTATGGGTGCAGAGGATCCTTGTGTCTCATTTTCTAATGGTAACTGCAACTCTTCACTGCTTCTGATGATTTCGTGAGTGCCGCAATTGTGTCGAGCACAGCCTCACTTGTATTTGTTATTGCTGTGGTATTCGTACTGTAGACCTTAGAAGTATTTTTTTATGTTATTCTACATGTATACATAGCGCGTCTAGCCTAAGAGGTGATTTGTAATACTATTTGTCTTATAAGTAGAATTTTGCATGATAAGTAAACATAATATTGGATAGATATAATCATTAAAGAGATATAACAGCTAGGTAACAGTTATTAATAATACTATATGTAACATGGTTCAATGATGTTTTAGTAACCCGCCCAATGAGTGGGAAGTTCATGTAGAATTATGATACCCGTCGCTCCCCCCACCTACCTAGTGGTTGGGAGTTAGCCCGGGCCTAAGGGCCACCCAGGCTTAAGAGTTAAAATATTTAAAATCTTGACCTATTATTTCTAAACATTTAAAACACTACTATTATGATCTTAAAGCTATATATAACTTAGAAAAAATAAATTTTAGAGATTTTTAATATTTTATTATATAAAAAGAAACTAAATTTTAGTAATTTATTATACAGATATAGAATATCTTATAAAAACTCTTTTCTAATAAAATTCTCTACTCTTTTATTTAATATGCTTATTAATTAACTATATATTATTTTTAAATTGAAATAAATATAAATTATTTACTTAAAAAAGATTTTATCAGTTTGTAAAAAAAAATTATATTAAAAGAACATAAATATATAATTTTTGAAAATATTTACTATAAGAGTAATTTACTAAAAATTTATAAAAGATATATTTTAGCCCAAAAAATTAATAGAAATAAAAACCTTAATAATGTCTCGAAATCTTAGTTTTTTTTATTCATATCAAGAGTAATAAATAAATAAAGATTATATTTATTATTTATTTAATTTCTATACATAATTTGTATAGTATGAATAGATTAAATTCTATCTAATATGATATAGTTAATATTTTGACTCTTGAGCCTAGATAGCCCTTGAGCCCAGGCTGACTCCCAACCGCCAGGTGGCTAGGGGGAGGTGAAGCGACGGGTCCCTAAGGGGATTACGAAGCATAATTGTGCATGTATAACTAGTCATGTAGCGCTACGTATAGCCTAGAAGATAATTTATAATGCTGTTTGTCTTATAAGTAGAAATATTACGTGATCAGTAAACACAATATTGCACAGATACAATCACCAAAGAGACACGGATATAAAACTATAAGGGCGAATGCAACGCTATTAAACAGCTAAAGAGGTGCAATTCTACTTTACACAATAAACACTCAACAGCAACGAATATGACCAAAACTATCCTTGTCCTCGGCGGCGCCGGCGCCCAAAACTCAGCAGTTGTACATGAGCTCAGCAAGGAGCCGTCCTTTGCCATCAAGATGCTTTCCCGAGACGTGAAGACCCCAGAAGCACGGGCTCTCTCTGTCCTCCCGCGTGTGGAGCTGGTGCAGGGCGATTGCTACGACGAGGACACGCTCGTGTTAGCCTTTAAAGGTGTACATGCCTGCTTTATCAACACCAACGGGAATGCCATAGGCGAAAAGGCCGAAATATTCTGGGGTATTCGAATCTACGAGATTGCGTACTGGGCCGGCGTGAAGCACTTTGTGTACAGCTCGCTGCCTTACGTGTCCAAGAAGTCAGGCTTCAACCCAAAGTACAGGGTGCCGTTCACGGATGGTAAGGCCAAAGTTTGCGGTACGTTGGGATAATGATGCTCATTGTTTCTATGCGGACTTTTTATACTGATGAACGATTTGGTAGAATTTATTAAAGCGCAGCCAACCGACGTAATGAACTGGAGTTTTATTGAGAGTGGCCCTTATCCAGAGCACCATCTAAGCTCGCTTTGGGCTCCTGATAAGGGACCGGACGGCGTCTACGTCTTCCGTACGCCTATTGGTCCAACCGGTGCAATTGCCCTTGTTGGACTGTCTGATTTCGCATGGTACGCTCGCTACATATTAGCGCACCCTGACGAATTTAAGGGCGATTTGCTGAGCGTTGGTATCGAACATGCGAGCGGTGAAGACATTGCCACCGCCTTTACAAAGGTGACTGGCGAGGCAGCTCGCTTCGAACCGCTACCACTGTCCACCGTCGCCAAGGCGTGGCCTGACAACAAGCTTGGCACGGCCGGGTCTCCTGGGTACGACGACCCGACGCTGAAGACAATGGCGGAAACGTTTGTCCCCTGGTACACCATATGGCAGGAGAGCGGTGGTAATGTAGGACTTTGGACCAAGGACTACGAGCGCCTGGATAAGATTCACCCTAATAGGGTAAGGAGTGTGGAGGAATGGATGAAGTCTGTTGGTTACGGAGCGGAGAGAAAACCGAGTATTCTAAGGACGCCGTTAGTGCCTGATACAAGTAAATAATTAGCAGGCGTGATATTTTTACGAACCGAGACGTATAATACAGTCCCATTATATTGCGCAATCTAACAAGTCGGCACTTTGCAGGGTTGAGGCAAGTAACTCGAATAGCAAGATAAATCACGTTTCAATAGCAATTTGTAGAAAACTTGATGCTAGCGTTTGCTTAGGGTTATCAAAACTTCGCTTAAATCCAGAGCCAGCTTGTCCACAATGCGAGCGATCAGTATATTATAACTCACTATTCTAGCTCTAACCTATAAAAATAATAGCTATAGAAGTCATTATAGATAAAATAGCTTTTTAAGATTATTTATTCTTTATTATCTTTATTTCTTTTAAAAGTATATTAATAATTACTAGCTATTAAAAATAGTAAAGATTTTACTATCTATAGATTATGTTAAGCTAAAGGATAGCTTAGAATTATAACTATCATTAGTTTGCATTAAGCCATGGCATAGCTTAGTAGAAGCTAGACTTAATTTGATTAGCAGGTATTATAGTTTAGAAAAAAATAATATTATAAATTATTTCTWCTTATATTTTATTTTATTTTTTTATTATTATAAATATTTTCTTTTTAAATAATTTTATATCTATAAAGAACTCTCTATTTTTTAAATAGGAGAAATAATTATAGTTTTTATTTTATTTTTATATTTTTATTAACTAATTGATAGTTCTTTATATAAAATATAGCTTTTATTATATTTATTCTAGCTTCTCTAAATATCTTCTCTAGAAATATTAGATTAAATAACTAGAATAATATATAATTAAAAAATCTCAAAAATATTATAATATATATTTTAGATATATAATTATACTAAGAACTATCTAATAAATTTAATAGATTAATATCTAACTTAATAATCTAATAAAAATCTAATCTATAGAATATAGTTTTTCTAATCTAATCTATTTAGTTATTAAAAATCTATAACCTAACCTAACCTAATAGATATAGGTTCAGATTAGGTTGGGTTTCCCAGGTCAGGTTAAACCATGTCTAATAGCACTGGATTCAGTGAATAAACTACGAAATTTACAACTATTTCCGGCCGGATCTGGGCGCGCAATTTCGGGAATTCAATTCACGCGGATGGGGATGTTTTTTTTTTTTTCTACTTAAAAATAAACGTGAAGTAATTCTATACATGCCCACCTACGCACAAAATCCTTCTCTCAATATTACTCCAAAGGCAACTCGTGTCGATTCTTTAACTTCTCGAGAACAAAGGCCGATAAGCTCCCGACGGTTGTACTCTTGTCGAGAAGCATCATGAACGGAACATCAATCTCCAGAGCATGGAAGATATAGGTGCGAAACTCGGCCGCCAACATCGAGTCTATTCCAAAGTCTCCCAGTCTCTGATCGAGACGCAACTTATTCTGAGGCAACAGGATGAGGTTTGCCATCTTTTTACATATGATGCCCTGTACCGCATCGCATAGACTCCCATCACCTTCGGCCAGGGTTTTGGCAACTTCGGCCGGCAGGCCCTGTACCAATGCCGATGGTATCCCTCCATTTGCAGTATCAGGAGATAGATTTCTTCTTCTAAATGCTGCAGCAAAGAGAGAGGCCCGTGGGTCTGATAGGAAATGGATATCACCCTCAAATCCATGATTGCGTTGCAACTGGAGGCCAGAAAAGTCAATCCCCGTTAGTAGATGAGCGTTGGCTAGGCGATCATATCCGGGCTGCCACTTGCTAGGATGCTGATGGGCTATAGCCAGGTCCATAATCTGTATCATTTCATCCTCACTGGTAGCTTGAATGCCTCTGCGGTCCATGATAGCCTCTATTTCAGGATGCTCGTGGAGATATCCCACTCCTGCAATCCGTCCATATCCGATCACGATAGCTGGCAACCCAAGGTTATTGTGATATCTCGCAAAGGCATCCTGGAAGGCATTTGCCGCGCAGTAATTGCTTTCGGTGGCCGCGCCAATGGTGCCTGCTGTCGACGAGGTCATGACGAACCAGTCAAGTTGCGAATCTCTCCCATCTTTCCGCAGAACATTGTGCAGATGCCATGTACCTTGTACCTTGGGACGGATCACTGTGTGCCACCTATCAGGGGTCATATCACCCCAAAAGGTCTCATGTAACGCCATTGCTCCTTGCATCACACCGCCTATAGGCGTTTTTGTAGCTTGAACGCACTGTTCGACGTCTTCGTATATTCCAACATCGCCGCGAATTACTTCCACCTCTACCACTTTATCGCGGAGGGTTTCAACAAGTGCTCTTGCGGACGGCTTGTCTATGGAAGTACGAGAAAGGAAGACGAACCGCCGAGCACCACGGCTCATCATCCATTTAGCCAAGCTGCGACCAAGGCCACCAAGGCATCCGACCATCAAGTAGCTCTTGCTTGAGCTAAACTTGGATTCATAGCTCTCTGGAAGCACTCGGAGTTTGCCTTTAGGGTTTTGGAAAGTAACTGCAACTTTACCCATTCTCGTGCCTCTCATGAAGTACCGGAAGGCTTCTTCGATGTTTGTTACGTCGAATACTTTGAGCAGCATGCAAGGCAAAGTAGCCTTGGATCGTATAAGGCTCATGCTCTCTTGTAGCAATTTGTGCGATTGACGATGATGTGCTGGTTGGTCGGAGAAATATAGTCTACTCAGATCGACAGCGGTAAAAGACACATTACGGCCAAAGGTCGCCATATCTAACCTTCCGTGGTCGAGAATATCCTTTTTCCCAATTTCAATGAAGCGGCCAAACTCAGCACAGGCCTGGAAGCTGTCTTGGAGCAACTCCCCCGTTAGAGAATTCAGCACGACATCAACGCCTCGGCCTAGGGTCATTGCCTGAATGCCGTCGAGAAAAGACGAGTCTCGAGAACTGAATATATGATTAGGATTGATGTCAAATGTTTCTACCAAATACGCCTTCTTGGGCTTCATTTCCAACAGTGGCAAATATCTCGGCGCCAATGCTTTTCGCCAGCTGAATAGCGGCAATGCCTACTCCTCCAGTAGCCGAGTGAATAAGGACCGACTCTCCACGCTGAAGATGAGCGCAATACCGAAAACTATAGATAACCGTGGCGAATACGACTGGGATAGTTGATGCGGTCTAGTGCTTCTATGAGTATGTATGCCACGAAACAGCCATATTGAAGAACCTACTATCAAGTCTTCCTTGTCCTCGAGTGTACAGACGGCCCACTCTGGGAACCGCTCGTAAGTAGCGAAATGTCCAGGGGCCATTACAACGACACGATCTCCGACCTGAAAATTTGATACACTTTCGCCTATAGCGGTAACGACGCCGGAACACTCGCAGGAGCAAGTTGCGCCTTTGGTGTCCACTCGAGCCGCAAGAGCATAAAGATCCTGAGAACAAAATTAGCTGAGAAAGGCACTTTAAGTTGACAAATGCGAACAGATAAGAGCATTATCACCTTTGCATTTAATCCAACACTTCGAACATGAATCTCGACATGGTCAGCTGGTAGAAGATCTTCGAACTCCTTTGCAGCAAAATGTAGTGTCTCCATCTGACCAGGTTCCTTGATGCTTAACTCGCACCGACCAATATCACCGAGGGTATTTTCCGTCATTCCTTCCTTCTGTTTTAGGTCAAACTGTGCATTAAATACATCTTCCGGCTCCCAGCGTAGCGCGTGAATGATTCCATCTTTCTGCGCGACTTCTGGTTCAGGTGCCGACGAATTCGAGAACGAAGCCTCCATAAAGTGACGGTCATTCTTTACTGTTACGTCAACATTTGTGAACGGGCCATCTACGTCGAAGACTTGTAATTTTAGGGCTGGCTGCTCTAACATCAATGGACCAGCTATGCCCCGAATCAGCGTGTAATCTGGTTGTTTACCAGAGAGAAGGTCCCCATTTGTGATCCACAGAATTTTGGATGCATTGTCGGTCAACACCTGTACACGCTTCATGTCATCTTCGCTTATTTCGCTGAGTAGTGGTGCCGTCGCTTCTAGTGTCGAGATTACGATGGCTCGAGGTTGTATTGTTGCCCCAGAAACCTCGTCCAAATTGAGAATTGGAACTTGTAAACCGAACAGCACGGACATCATCGTTTGTAGTTTGTTATTCAAGGATGAGCATCCTTGTCCGTTTCGTACCTTGAAGATAGACAGTCAGCTAATTTTACCGACCCAATGCGGATATCCTTAACCTACTAGGACTACCTGACGGGACTTAACTGCTGATATGGAGGTTTGCCTTCCTACAAGAACACTGGGAAAGATACGGCTTGGCTCTTCAATGATCTCTAATGTGGCATTTTCTCTCATATCCTGCTCTAGACCTTGAATAGATATGAAAAATCCGTGAGGGCTGAGAAGCTCAACCATCGCCACTTTTTTGGTCTGTATTCGTATTAGTGTCTTTTATTTCTGATACCAACTGTTGTGCCACTTACGCTTGAGGTGACGATTATGTCGAATTTATCCTCTAGTTGAGATTCTTCGCCCTTGCCATTGGGTTTTGTTGGACTGGTGGAATGCATATTGGTATTGTCATTGATCACACTCATGCCGCCGTCGTCAGCGATTTTCACTGCAATGAAGGTTTCAAAGCGTCGTAAGTGGTGTTCAGCACGTAAGCTATCCCTGAATAACTTGATGGTTCCGGGTTGGCAGTCTATTGCGAGAATTCGCGAACTCGGGAATTTAAAGATAACCAAATCCAAAGCCCCGGCCAGGCGAAGATCACAGATTTTGATGCCTGATTTTGAGTATGTTTCTTCAAACCAATCCAAATACCTAGAGAAGCAAGAGTTAGGTCCTGCTGGAAGTGCTGTGATATCTGGCTTCCATGCGACCCTGACCAGTGGCATTTTCATTTCGGTATTAGTGTCTATTCGGGCATTATTACCCTGGAATCGAATGGCGCGGACGTTGACCATGCGAACTAAGAAATCATCGTGCTGGTTTATTAGTTCAGCATTGATATTTACCGTTCCAAAGCCGAATGGTTCGGAGATTGCTTCCATAAACCATGGCTTCGTTGTATCCATGTCTAAAGAAATTGGACTCGACAGTTCGACTGTTTCGATGCTGACGGGAACTTTGGCTCGCAATTTGCGAGCCCATCCACGCGTTGTGGCAACAAAGGCCGTTTGCAGCATTGCATCAATATTTATCGGGTGAGCGATGTACTTTGGATGATTGTTTTGATACCCCGGAGAGCTGTCCTCGTAGACAAGATGAGTAGTCGCAGCAGCGATATACGATCTTTTGGCTCTGTCACAGAGAATGTCCTCCATCACCGCAAATCGCGGACCCCAATTGAGACCTTCCAGGGTGAATTTGTCGTACCAGGCTTTGGTCACCTGTTTTTCCATCGAGGTTCGATTGATATTAATTTGGCGTCGAGTGGATTTTACTTTGGTATCGTTGCTAGAAAGACTAGCAACACATACAGCGTGAAGGATAGACTGGCTTGCATCACGGGAGACGGAATTAACACTAAAACGCCACCATTTATTTGAGGTTGTCGTATTGGATATGCGAAGTGGTTCCATTTCCGTAAAAACCTCGATTCGCGGCCGCTCCTCGATATCAAAGTCCATGGCCTTCAAGAAGCTGATATTTTTCAGCGTCACTCCAGGGCATCCCATCAGTGGGATGTTGTTCACCTGGCACACAGCTTCAGTAGCCATGGCGATATAAGCTGCTGAAGGGAAGACTATCGATGACCCGAGCCTGTGGTCCTTTAGCCATGGAATTTCATTGATGTTGAGAATATTTCGCCAAGTTATGTTTGCTTTACTACCTCCCGGTATCTGTGAGCCAAGAAGGTCATGACGAGCGTCCCTACGATTCCGGAACTCAGCCACGATACGCGGTTCGTTCCAAGTACATGTAGACGAATAGTCCCAGGGGTAGGCAGGAAGGTCTGTAAGGACCTTGGCTGGTTCATGATTGAAGTCATTGCCGTTTTCGAGGATTGATTTGAAAAAGATCTCGTCGTGTCTGTTCAGGAAAAGTGAACCGACGAGGTTTAAGATCGAAACAGACGCTTCTTTGCCACGTTGAAGTGCAGAATGATACATGTATGATACAGTTTGTTGCAAATTGCTGGTTTGATTGGCTGTCTCCTTGATGGGAAGCTCCAAAGTTGAGTGTGGGCCAATTTCAACAAAATGAGTTGAACCGCCTTGCAGGACCACGCGGACAGCCTTCTCAAACCCGACAGACGATTCCAAATTACTACGCCAGTAACTCGGTGCACAGACATCTATGTCGGTGACAACGGCCTTTGTAACGCTCGAGATCATGCTTATTCCAGAATGACTCTTGGCTGGATAGTTCCCCACCTGTATCCCGTCCGTCGTACTATTTGGCCAAAAACGATGCAAAAGTTCTTCATAAACTGGACCGAGTGCTTGCATGTGGTGTGAATGATAAGCTTTATTATCAGTCTTTGATTTCCTAGCGAATATACCCTTGTTCTGTAGGGCATCCAGAACCTTGTCGATTGCTTCGATGTCCCCGCTGAGCGTACTGCTTTTAGGTGAATTAACGCAGGCCACAGATAATGTGCCAGACAGACCCATATCAGCAATGACATTCTTTGCCTCATCCCTGCTTAGACTGGTTGCCAAGATACCTCCCCTCTTTTGGGACAACGAAACGCTGAATCCGCGAAGGTACGATGATATAATAGCTCGATTGTAACATATCTTTCCAGCGGCATAAGCTGCAGCTATCTCTCCTGAAGAATGCCCGATCACGGTTTTTGGCTTGATATTCCAGGAGTAAAGCAAATCAATGACAGCCATCTGGACTGCAGTACAGACTGCTTGGGAACGATCAGCGCGGTTGATTACATCCGTTTCTTTTTCCAAAATCGTCTTCTCTATGGTCCACGGCGGCCGAACCGATTTGTCAAGTGTCTGAAGGCACCGGTCGAAGGTTCTAATCGACTGTCGAAAGGAGGGGAATTGGCCAAGGAATTCAAGACCGAAACCAGACCACTGGGCGCCTTGGCCAGTGTAAACAAAACTCAAATCTCTTTTCTCGGGAAGTCGATTAGGTTGAATGGTGGGAAGAAGAGAGCTTGGTTCGTTGCACAAAGAGGATGTTCGTGCACCTAAGAAGCCCCGGGTCCCAAGTTGTGATCGACGGCAGTTGAGTGTGTATGCTAGATCGTTCGCTTGCAAGTCAACCCCTTTGTCACTGATGTAATCGACAATACCATCGAATTGCTTCATGAGTGAATCGCGAGTATTGGCAGAGAAAAGGTAGATGCCAGGGAAATCGACGTGCTTGTCTGCAACAGCGTCACCATACTGACACAGACTATCGCCTTTGCCATTTTCTTTCACTACCGCCGTATTATGGCCACCATTTAGGGCTCGAGAAGGACCAGCTTCAATAACTGCATGTGCATTAGCACCCCCAAACCCGAACGAATTGATGCCCGCCCGATGAACCGCAGCGTTCGGCCATTCTCGATTCGTGCGAACGATGTCTACATTCCATTCGCTGAGCTTTATGCTGGGATTGACATTTTCCACTCCAATAGTCGCAGGGATAAGGTTTCTCTCCAATGCAAGAACTACCTTGATAATGCTAGAGATACAGCTTGCTTCCTCACTATGACCGAGTGTGGGTTTAATGCCGCCGACTAGGGTTGGTACATCATCGCGTCGTTGGAAAACACGAGCAACGGCTTCCATTTCAATGGGGTCGCCCACTTTGGTCCCAGTTCCATGAAGCTGTATCATCAGTTAGCACATTTTTTAACTCATGTATACAGTAGAATACATACTTCAACATAACCTGTTTCATCCGGGCGCAATCCTGCCCTTCGATGTGCTGCCCTGGACATAATTGCACACGAAAATGCAATCATTCAAACTACCGAATGGAATACCACAACATCACAGACCGTCCCGTCAACGAGATCGACTACCGAGGACCATTTTGGGAGTGAAGAGGAGCTGGGAATCTTGACTGGAAGTCAATCCAGACGGTTCTATTTTATTGGAAGAGGTGATGAGCACACTACGTGAGACTCTTTTTCGCACACTTTTTTTTCCATATGCGACGTGGTGTCGATAGGAGTCTAGAGACTTTAGTAGTTCAGTGATCCAATTACCCAAGGACAGTGACACTCCTATAAGTAGTGTCAGTGGAGCGAATACCATTAGTTATTGATTAGTACGAAATGATTTCAAATACCTAGGTAGTGCGCGATAGCACCTTTTCAGGCAGATTGCTCGTGCATCTAAGCTCGATCTAGGGCCTTCTTGAACTCTTTTAACTGGAAAAATCAAATTGGAAATTTGCTAATGGGATATGAGCACGGTAATTGTTATTTATATTCGACGTGATGGGTTAACTTAAACGGATAATTCCTGGAGGAGTAGATCCTTGATGCTCCTAACAAAAGCATCCATGGTTGCTTTCTCGTGAAAGGCCTCATTGTAGACCAAATTCAAACATAACTCATTTCTAAAAGTCCACACATGGCACACACACTGCCTATTCGTCATCTCCAAGCCGCCAGAAACTTGGTTAACACGAATCTCTCTCTCCGGGGATCCCCTCTCCCTAGCCAACATCTTTTCAACTATACCGAGGCTGCTGATATCCACGTCGGTTGGTGAAGGGAGTCCAGCGGGCATACTTCGAAGAAGGTTGCAGAGTCCTTTTGCATATTCACGATGGGCCGAGATGAATTCTGGAGTTAAACCCTTGCGGTACTCATTATGATATGCCTTTTCGCGCTCTCCCCATGATGACTTAGCTGATACGGGAAACATCCAGCCACTAGTAAAGATGGTGCTAGCGTACTCGCGCCCAGAATATGGGTATGGCAGAAAAGGCCGGAAACTAAAGCGGATAGTACTGGTGTAATGTTTCTTTCTATCTTCGGGAGCAGCTAGTAGATAGTTGGCTCCGGCAACCGAAGCATGCACTGCTGCTGTGACTGAGATATGCTTTTCCTTGCAAGCTTTTACTACGGTGTTAGTTTCTTGCTCGCTAAATCGAAGATTGGAGATGCGGGTTCCACCCGGTATAGTATCGGCTGCAGCATGAGAGGCAATTCCGATAGCTCCGATGGTATGACCAAAACTAGCAACAGTTTGTTGGGCTAGTTTCTTATCTTCTTCGGAGGGACTGGTGGCCAGAAGGCCTGCTGCTTCCTCAATTGACGGTGCCAAACGGCTAGTCTCTTCACCCCACGGCAGTGAAGAAGTATCTACAGGAACAGACTGACAAGCCAGGTCAAGGAAGTCATCCATAAGAATAAAGCCGCCAACTCCATCCGTGCGCCAGTGTTGTGTATGGCCTAGGAGTTGGCACGTCTGAGGGAAATAAGTCATTGTTGCATAAGGATTTAGCGTGGTAGATGCGATGACTTCATCGACTGTCTTATCATCAACTACCCTGAAGGTCTCTGTTACCCATTTGGTAAGCGCTGTTTTATCTGGCACATCATAGACGTATCTAGTCTCGTCCATGACATATGCAGCAATGGTTGGGTGCTTAAATCGCAGACCCTTCCAGGCTTCGCGGAAAAGAGATGTCAAATCTTCCCATGCGATTGAGCCCATTGGAGTGACTGTGGCGACGACGTTGATCGACCAGTGCTCACGGTTCAATGGACGGGCAGCATCGGCGAGGATTTTGATGAATATTTCATTTTCACCAAGTGCACGCTCGTACCGGTTGTCATCAACGCGAAACCAAGGCATCATGGATTTTGATGCTGAATTGAGATTTGGCTCTAAAAACAGAATGATAAAGAATCAAGAGAAGAAGAGGTTCAGGAGGAGAAGCGGGGAGGAGAAGGAGGAAGGAGATGATAAGGAAAAATGGTCCATGGATGTTAGGTCCGTTCTTTGTCTGGTGTTCTTTGTCTGGTAATTCTGGTAATTATTCATGTATGGTATGAGTAATACAGTAATACAGTAATTAATAATTAATTAAATGCCATGGGACCATAAGCTGGGATTACTAAACAAGCAGTAGTCTTGCAGATCCTACTAAAATATTTGCATTTAATATGCAGGTGAGTGTGATTGATATGCATGGATACAGCCAGCCGACTATTAGTAAATGCCCAAAGCATAAAAAACAAATATGGCATTTTTGATGGCGCATGCCTACATAGCATGTGTAGGACGAATAAGTAGTATTATGTTGCGCAGATTTAGTTCGGAATTACACTGAGTTGCTTGAATCCTGCCCCTCATGGCTAATGTTTTCACCGTGTCATTTGAGTCATATCCTCATTTCCATTGATTGCTACTGTACTACCTAACGAGTACCTGATAGGCAGTATATGCTTGCAGGAGTCTTCAACCGCTTGAGTCATGCACCCCCAAAAGACGTTAACTGAAACTGTTCCAGTAACAGACTGGGACAGTGATAGCAGAAACCCGCACAACTGGCCGACTTGGAAGAGAGCCTACCACTCTGTTATCCCTGCCGTCTTGGTCTAGTAGTGTATGTCTTCTTTTCCCTAGGCATACTTTAGATATATGCTGACAATTAAATCAATGACTGCAAAGAACTATCGGCTCATCGATATATACATCTGCCATTGATGATGTTAAAAAAACATTTCATGTCTCCGATGTCGCCGCCACTATTCCTTTCTCCCTCTTCCTACTGGTCTTAGGCTTTGGTCCAATGCTCGCAGCGCCATTGAGCGAGAATTTTGGCCGGACATCGAGCTACGTGATTTCTCTCTCAATATATGCATTATTCACTCTAGGAGCGGGGTTTTCACACACATTTGGTGCTCTTGTGGCGTGTCGTTTTCTAGCTGGCATTTTTGCGAGCCCCCCTCTGGTTGTGGGCGCTGGCACCATTGCAGATATTTGGAAACCAGAGCATCGCGCCCTTACAATTACTCTTTTTGCTCTCTGTCCCTTTCTAGGCCCGACACTGGGGTAAGTAAAATACATACCAAAACCACAGCCTACTTGCTGACATGTAGTAATATCTCAGTCCTGTAATGGGCGGCTTTGCCGTTGCGGCCAAAGGCTGGCGATGGACACAATGGATCATCTTATTCTGGGCCGCTTTTGCCTATCTACTTGTCCTGGGCATGCATGAAACGTACAAGAAAATGATCGTGGCGCGAGCATCCAAAAAAGCAGGATGCCACATTACACCACCATGTCTATCGGCTCGTGAAACCATGATACTCCTCTTACAGGTCACCCTACTTCGGCCTATAAAGATGCTTTACTCAGATCCTATTGTCATTTCATGGTCCGTTTACATTGGATTTACTTTTGCCGTGCTCTATTCTTTCTTCGCTGCGTTTCCGTATGTGTACGCCACGGTATACGGCTTTGAAATTCAGCAAATCGGCCTGACATTCATTCCAGTTGCCATTGGTACTGTTCTGGGATCTATTACTTTTATCTGGATTGATCAGGCAATCTATCAGAAGCGTAATGCACAGTGGATGGCTCAAAGAGGCACTGGTCGCCTTCCGCCAGAGCTGCGATTATATGCTTCCATGATTGGAGGATGCGGATTGCCGATTGGTTTGTTCTGGTTTGCATGGACTGCTAGACCCGACATACACTGGATTGGCCCGATGGTTGCCAATGTGATCATAGGCTGGGGAAATATGTGCATTATAGTTCGTTCTTCTTCCACCGCCCTTGTATAAAAAGGCAACCAAAAAGACAAAAAAAGAAAAATAGTCGAACTAACCAGGCAGCAGATGAGTGGGCTTTTGTATCTTCTTGATGTCTATGATGCACTCACCGGCGCATCAGCAGTGGCCGCTGCCTCGCTGCTTCGTTATGTACTTGCCGCAGCATTCCCACTATTCATTAACCCCAGTGAGTTCATCTTGTTGGCTAACCTGGCTTTGCAATGCCGAAACTAACTTAATCCTGCTTGAAGTGTATAAAAACCTTGGCGTTGGCTGGGCTACAAGTGTGTTTGCCTTCGTTTCGGTTGCTCTGATGCCCATCCCATGGATCTTTTATCGTTGGGGGCCGAGACTGCGCTCGAGCAGCAGGATTATGGTATCATGATTTAGCTCATCTGACAGTTTGAATATACCCAAGGCCAGGCCAGTTACTTGAGAAAAAAAGCACCTTGTTTCACTTTGCTTTCATCTTATCAAGACACTAAGTTGATATCAGGCGTTTCAAACCAGGACTTAGTCAGGAGGGTATCACGCAATGCGAAATCTGCTATAGAGCAACATTTACAAACTCGAGTGTAGGTTTACGTCAATAGCAACATAATTTAAAAGGCAATATTACGGTGTTCATTATATATTGAAACCACTCCTGTTTTAAGCCTTGTTCTGTCAGCGCAAAGCAATGCGTTATCAATTTAGAGGTTAGGGCTGCCTCTACATGGCAATGTAGTCATGTTACTAACCTTGCAATGCCCCGTCTACCTAGACAAATGAGATAATGGCGGCTTCGCTTCGATCTTTTAAGTAAACATTGAAGTATCACTCTTAAATTAACCCAACTTTCTTCAGCTTTCATACAGGGAGGAAGGATACGCATGAAAAAATTAGGCCTATTCAGCAAGATACTGAGACTTTGAACCTAATAACACTTCTATCGACCAAATCAAAATGAAAAAAGTGTGCACGTTGATCAAGCGGCAGCAATGGCCAGCGCACCCACAAGTAATGATATATTTTTCGAGATTAAACTATAGTATTAGTCAAAGTTCTTTTTTTTATTCTTTTAATATTATTACTTAACCATGTTGAATAAGCCGTTGAAAGTTAGTGAGTGGATAGAAAGGGAGTCTTTTATGATATGGATTCTTTCCCGCAGTACTTTTTACCTGTGCGGGTGCGTTCTCATAGGTGTGCGAGGTTTTTTTGGAACTCGATAGAAGTTCATTTGAAGCGATAATAACGGATATCTACAATTTAACGACCCCGTCAGACCAAGGACTTAGAGAGGTTGCCGTGAAGTTAATAGTAGGGTATTTGGCGGGTGTCAGGGACAGGGCTAATCTTAGCGAGGAGCTTCTGGAGCGGCTACCTAACTTTGCGGCGGATCTTTGTGTTGCAATGATAAATAGCTCGCTTCCAAGCAAGGGGTTGTTCGTTCGGTTGATGTTTGGGACGAAGAACATGAGATTTAGTAATGTCATCCGCAGATTTCCTATGCCTGATTACTCTGTAAATCAGAGAGTTAGACTGACGGGCATAGGCATCTTTCGATTTCGAACTAGATCATGGAGTCTGACAACGGTATTCTACAACCGGGCTCCTAACCTTTGATGTAAAAGCTTATTCAGATCACAAATCGTATGGATTATATAGGGTTTAAATTTATTACTTGACTTGAATATTTGGCATCAAACCATTTCATTATGAGAATACTATTGAACCGCCGTTCAGTAACACGTTTGCTCTAATCTAGACGCATGACAAGCATCGGTAAGATAATTATTCTATATGGTATATATTATGTTATGTTTATTCAAGCAAAAGTTTCCGACAAGCAAGGAAATTTCTTTTCAATTCTTTCATCGACTATCACGTCCGTCAAATGTACATACCAAGGTTGTGTAAATTAGTAATTATACTATGTTAAATATCTCTTCCTTAATTCTTTAAACAAAAAATCTAGCTTCCAAATTTACTTATTCATGACCGTTAAAGCGGCACTCGAAGCGCACATAGTTAACCTTAGTCATTAAAGCGGCAACTCGTTCTTTAGTAATGTAACCGTTTCAAGAATTCGAGAACAGCGATGATGCATTTAAATACAGCTACGCCTTCAAAATGGAATATTCCTTTTCCTATCCCGCCTTCAGCACACATAAAAGCCTGCAATCACAGTTTAATACTAGTCATAAATAGTTCAACCTTCCTTGACCCTTCGAACAATATGTCAGTGACTCCAAAAGATCTATATGCCATTCACCCCGGTGCGCGCATCCTCGTTACAGGCGCTAATGGCTATATCGGGTCGCACATTGTCAACGTCCTATTATCCCTGGGCTACCTTGTTCGAGGTACCGTACGCGCAGAAAAGCCGTGGCTTCATGAATTATTCGGCTCGAAGTACGGTCCGGGCCAATTCGAGACAGTAGTGGTCCCTGAACTGAATGACAAAGAAGCTCTAATCAGGATCTTGAGTGATGTCAGTGGTATCGCGCATGTAGTACGTACAGTTAATTCATTGGTATCCCTCTGCGAGAACATTTGTGCCCTTTGAAATGTCGTTCTCCGCTTTAACTTTGTTGAAAACATCCTAACAAAGATACAAAGGCGACAGACGTCTCATTTGATTCCGATGCCAAAAAGGTCATCACCAATGTCGTCTCAGCCACGGAGGCTGTTCTGCAGGCTGCAGCAGAATCGTCAGTGAAGAGAGTGGTTCTCACCTCATCATCCTCAGCGGCATTACTGCCACAGCCTGGCGTGGATGGCATAGTGGTGACAGAGGGTAGGTCACGAGCGATAATCGGCGTCTGTTGCTATTATAACCGATACTGACGGTATAGTTAGATACCTGGAATGATGCCGCCGTTAAAGCGGCATGGGATGCAAATACCACGGCGGATAAAAAGCCGTTCATTGTCTACGCAGCTTCTAAGACAGAGGGCGAACGCGCAGCTTGGAGATGGATCAAAGAGAATAAGCCGAATTTCACCTTCAACTCAGTGCTTCCTAACTTTGCTGTAAGTAGAATAATAGGCATCTAACCGTATCTTGCTCTCACTTCCGCTCGCACTTCTTTGAGACTTGACTGACTCATTTTACCCTGAATCGAATGGCTAAATAGATTGGAAAGATCCTTCATCCCGAAATAGCTGGCTCAACTATGAAATGGACTGCCGAGTTATTGCAAGGAAATGATGGGGTTATAAAATTTTTACCTTCTCGTATGTCGATTGCTATGCCCGAATGCTCGTCGTGTTGTTTCTAAAATCTCATCTCCAAATAGAATGGCATGTCAATGTGGGAGACATCGCCCGTATCCATGCCATTGCCTTACTCGACCCAAATGTCAAATCTGAGCGTCTCTTCGCATTTGCTGCTCCCTTCACATGGACTGGAATAATTAACATTCTCCGAAAACTTCGTCCCTCCAACAAAAGACTCGTGAATGCACCAGAAGATGAACAACCCGACCTAAGTGATATTGTGCCTTCTAAGAGGGCGGAAAGTCTGCTGAGGTCCTTCTTCGGGCAGTCTGGCTGGATTGGGCTGGAGCAATCATTGAAGGACGGAATTGATAGCGTCGACTTTTAAACCTGGCTAGTCAGTGTTAATGGCATGATCTGGGAAAGATGCTAATGCATAGCTCATTAAAAGCCTCCTGGACACAAACGTGTTCGCGTGACTTATTTTGAAGTAATGACCACACCATGGCTTTGTTCTCCAAATGATTTACCAAATCAATTGTACTGTAACCCTCCCGACTCCTTCTCACAAGGAATGATTGATTTTCTAGGAGTAGCTTCACTATTGTTGGATGCAGGCTTTACTGTATCAGTCGCTCTTATAATTCCTTTAATTGAACACAGTACAAGAAACCAAAATCAGGTATAACTTAAAATACCATCAAGCCAGTAATCACTAATATTAAGCGTTTATAAGCCTAGTTTCATTGATAAATGACCCTAAGAAGTCGATAACCCTACCTGAATCATAGCAGACTTAGACCAAGCCACCTGAATACCTTGTATATTAACGAGGCTGAGACCGACACTACCGTGAACTATAAAATAATATAGTGTTGCGCCTTCTTAGATATAAAGAGATGATAAATTCTCTAGTCTGCTAGCCACTCTTCTCTAAAATTACGGTTTAATAACAATAATGTCGCTTGACTCACTCTCTATTGAAATAATCCTTAATATTATTTCTGTTATTTCTCTATTTATATCTTTACTTACTGTGTTGATTTAGATAAGTAAATAAATATTTTTAATTTTAGAGGGGGCTTTACATATAGAAGATATAAAATATCATAGATCTTTAAGTGGCTACTAGGCTACTTAGTAAGGAAATCTTACTATGCTATATAAAGCAATAAATCCAGAGAAGATATACATTCTTACTTATAAAGACAATGTTTCTATCTATAATAATAAAAGTAGAAGAAAATAGAGGATTAAAAGTTCTATATAACAATATTAGTAGAGCAGATAGTATTTTATAAGAATTTTAATCTTATTAAAAGTTAGTAGATAATTAGCTATAAAATGATAGATTCTTCTTAATGTAGTAACGTAATTCACCCCCGAACCGGCCACACTACCGAACCGGCCACGTCTCCCGGATCCGCGCTCTATATTGATTTTAAATCATAATTTTCAAATCCCTATATATTTACTATACAAAAAATTAACTTCTAATATTATTTAGGTATTAATTTATTTTATACCTTTTAATACTATAGCTACTACAGCGAAATTAACAGTATATAATTAATTAAGAAGCTAGAAGCTCTAGCTTAATTAAAGTAATAATAATAGCTTAAGATATCTTAATCTAACTTTATATAAGAGCCTAAATCTCTACTTTAGTAATCTCTTACTTAATAGATATCTATTTATTAGATTTTTTTTATTTTTATTTCTTTTTTTTATATACTACTTAAAGATCATTTACTTCTTTTTATATAAGTAAGAGATTATTTATAGTTATTTTATAGACTTTTAATATCTATGTCATTGCTTAATTAATTACTAGATTTAAGCTTCTTATACACTTATTTATATATTTCTTAATTATAGTTAACTGGCGTATAAATTAATATATATTTTAAGATATTTATAAATAGAATAATTATGTATTACTTAATTAACTAGAAAAAAGTATTAAGATCTTTAATTAAATAGTAAATTATTATATAATTTAATCTAGATTAAAAGATACTAATCTAGTAGCTATAAAGCTATTTTAAATAGTTTAAACTTTATATGCTATTATATAAGCTTATAAAAATACTATTAAAAAATCTATTTTATTAATATAATTAAAATTAAGCCTTATCTACTACTTAATTAATTATCTATAATATTACTTTAAAACTATAAAATAATTAACATTAAAAAACTATAAAAGATAAGAGAAATAAGAAAGTATATAGATTAATATAATTTTATACTCTATACATATATAATTAAATTCTATTATTAAATAACTTCTATAGCTATTAAGAATTAATATAATATATATTCTTAACGTATAATTACTAATATAAGGAATAAAATAGATTTTAAACTATTCTAAATCTATMYAATCTATAATCTAGCTATTTTCACTAATATTAATTCTTTAATTATCTAGAAATTTATTAAATTAGTCTAATTATATATTTTTCTTTACTTTAAAGATAATATATAAAGATAAAATCTATTTAATTAAATTTATTACTTTAATTATAATTATTTATTCTCAATTGCCAGGCTGTAAAAGCTTTGGCTAAATATATTAATTACTTCTAGTAATAATTTTTATAATTATATAAAGTCTTATAGCAAAGCTAGTTTTATTAAAATTATATATATCTTCTAATAAAATTCTATAMTTAAATAATCTTTAAATCTTTATATTTAGTTTATTTATAGTTATATTTCCTTATAAATTTAGAATTAATCTTTAAATAGTATTTAATTAGTTTAATTATCTAATTTTTCCTAATCTCTAATTTACCTTATTATAATAGAAGATAATTAATTATATCTTATATAAGAGAGTGCTAAGAAAGTAATCTATATTAATCTAAATTAAAAATCTATTTAATAAATAAATTTTCTTTAGATTAAGTTAATATATAGCTATTAGTATATATTATCTATTAATATAATACTCCTTTTATTTAATCTTAAAGAGTTATATAAGTAACTAAATAGATTTTTACAACTTTATAAATACTGCAAATTCTTCTATTTTTTAAGTTAGAAATAGCTAATTCAATCTTTCCCTTATCTTAAATAGATTTTTTAGGATCTTTTTTATGAATTAGTGGCATTTTAACGCGTTATAATATAATAAATCAATATAGAGCGTAGATCCAGGAGACATGGCCAGTTCGGTAGTGTGGCCGGTTCGGGGGTGAATTACGTTAGAGAGAAGTCAGATTATGTAAGAGGCAGAGCCCTTACCAAAGAGTTGATGCCTGAGGCAACTACTGCTTGTGAGCTTATATACCGTGCAACCACCGTAATTGCTAGCGCAATTACTCTTGTATGCTTTTTGGTGCAGTGGTTGGCGCCTCACCGCCTTACAGGTTAAGATAATAGACTTTCTGATAAAGTAAACTATCAATGAAGTATTTAAGTTGCATATATGAGAGTATTATTATTAATTATTAAATATATCTATAGAAGATAAAATAATTCGAATATTACTAAAAAATAGAATTAGCTTTAATTTTAAAGAAGATAATAATCATAATATTTATCTATCATCTCCTATTGTCTCACCCCAACATGCAGGTGTTATTATATATGGTTGTCAAATCTAACACAAGCAAAATAGCGAATTTATATTATCTATAGTCTATACAGTCTATACTAGAAACTTAAGATTAGTATAGATACTTCTTTCTTATAGTGTAAATTAATATTAGCTTAGTAGCTATTATTAACTACTAGTAATATAGTCAAAAATCAATTAATTTAGCTCTTGTAGATTAAATCTACATTTCTGGATTATAATCCAGCCTAAACCTATGGTTTCTGAGTTAGAATGGGTTCTAGAAAAATATCAACTTGAACCTGGTGGGTGAGAAGTTTACGCCCCTAAAACCCGCCCCAACCCGCTCTACTGCCATGTTTTAATTATATAAAGACTGCTATCTATTAGTTTAATTATTATTATTTTCTTGATTCAATCTATTTTATTAATAATTCTATAGATCTTTATATAGTTCAATAAAGCCTAGCGTACCTAGACACCACGCTGTTTAACTAAGGTGGATCCAGGTCTGTGACAGCCGGGGTCAGATATCGGTATCGATATTGACCTTCTGACACTTAGTTACACCGTTTGTGAGTATGTTGGCTGGAAGTGCACAATAATATGCGTGTATAAATGATAGCTAGCGAGTCATACCAGAAGCCTGGTGGTATATACTCTCATCCAAATAATATTTCACGGCGAGCGTGGTGACTTCGTTCTTTCACACAAATGAACCGAGCGTCGTTCACCTCGTCTCAGCCTGCACCTATCAGATTGAGAATGGACAGATAGCTAATCAATTTATATCTCATTGGCTTCGACAGACTTAAAGCTGCAGACCTTTGTCACGTGTACGTAAGGCACTAAGGCAGCAAAGATGGCATCATCGCCGCGCCGCACCACAGCCTTGTCTGATGCCTCCCAATAAATTAACATTGCCGGCAGCCATTTTTCATACAGTCAAATATGATAAGAAAGAATGATGCCACCTTGTACAGATATACGCACTACCATTCTTGGCTCCTTCGAGCCACAGCACGACGGTCGCACCAGAGTGCCCATGAACCAACGCTTCTATCCTCGCGACAAGCTGAAGGAAATCCTCACCCGAGACCGAGTCCGCCAAGCGCTCAACTGCTCTTGTGACCATTGCGAGCAACAACGGCGAGATCTTAGGTCGGTTGACCAACCCCTTGACTACGTCGACTCGATCCTCGATGCCAGGTTTCCCGCAATATCTCTCTTTGCCCTGTTAATATTCATCCGAGCGACCCCATTTGTCGTCGGCTTTCTGGTTCGGCAGGTTCACGACCAATCTATATGCAATCTATCGGGGGATTTTCTTGAGGTCAATATTGGAGAAAAGTACTGGAGCTACTTCCACAGGAGGAGGAGAGAGGAGTCTGAATCCCTAGAGGATGAGTTTCGGAACCACTTGTTTCAGTTCGCCGTCCCGACTTTTACTAGTCGACAGTATCACGTTTTCCACGAGCAGGCAATATTGCCATTCGTCGAGCAGCTTCAGCTCGGCAGAATCGACGAGGATGGCAGGGTGGTGAACGAGGGCGCCTATGGCACAGTCTACGCCTGCAAGATCTGGCCAGCTTACAATGCTCTTCCTGTGAGTTCGCTCTATGTTACTGCCAAGAATGCGACTACGTATACTATACTTACATCTAACTGAGTTTGTCTTCTAGAATTCGGAAGGAATTGAATGGTTCGCCCGGAAGGAATTGGATGTACCAACTCGACTATTCAGTGTGGAGAAGCAAAACCTGGAAATGGCAAACAGACTCGGGGATCCTCACATTGTCAAAATCATCAAGACATACAAGCACGGCAACAAGTACAACATAATCTTCCCTCGGTCAAGAACAAATCTGCGCTATTATCTCCGAGAAGAACAGTTTGTGAATCCAATACGCCCGTTAGAGGCAAATCCACTCTGGCAACAAGTTCTTGGAGTAGCCAAGGCCCTGGACGATATCATTAATTTCGGCGTCAATAAACCATCTGCCAGCGATCGGGAATATTACGGTTTCCACTTTGATCTAAAGCCGGAAAATATTCTAGTGGAAAACGATGGTACCTTTCTCATTTCTGACTTTGGTCAGGCCACATTCGTGGAGCGTGGCGGTTCCTCGCGAGTGGATGGCCATGGAGGAACTGAGGCCTATGCGCCGCCAGAAATCGATAATCTCAACGAGCGCCAGACTAGCAAATATGATGTTTGGTCACTTGGATGTATTTTTATCGAGATTGTGACTGTCATGGTCCTCGGCTCTAGGTATCTTGATGAATTCGATAGACTCAGAATAACAACGGCGGGAAATATGACCAATGATCGCTTTTTCGAGATCGATCCAATGTTCATCGGCCCAGAAAGGGGTTATAGAGTGAAAAGTGTCATCTTAGCATGGTTTGAGCGCTTGTTGAAAAGGGTTGACCCTCAGAGAAGTAAGGACTTTTTGGAAAAAATCGTCGATCTAATTAAGGACATGCTCGCTACTGATACCAACAGCAGAGTTCCATCTACTGAAGTGGTCAGACGTCTTGATGATATTCTTCAACAATATCAAGAGAACCATGTCGTTCACATTGAAACGCCACGGTCAAGAAAGGGGGAACTTACTGTCGGTGCCTCGAATCTTGGAGAAGTCAAGTGAGTCACTAAGTTTTGCAATATAACTTCAACCGTTTATCAGCTTTCTGACTATAGACTTATACAGCATGTGGTACAAAGAAGCCCCAAATTTTAAATGGCAAAGTGCAAAGATGTTTGTTTTTCAGCGGGTTTCCGATTCAGGACTGCGGATGGTCATACAGACCCGTATGCACAGCTATATAAAAGACGGTCAGTACGGGCGTTTCTCGCTCTATTTGATAGACATTTCTATTGACTTTATATATCAGTACATCGAAAAGACTTGATGCTTGTACCTAGATACGCGTTTGACTTGCGGGATCCAGGTCAAGAATGGCTATCTTTCAAGAGAATTGCCACTGGTAACAGTTTTTCTTTTCAGGATGATAAGTTCTCTTTTTCTACGTTGACATCTCATGGTAATTACATGCGTTCACCTCCTATTCGTTACAAGGCTTGTTGACATCTCGAGGTAGACGCCTATACAGTACAGTCTGTTATTACTAGCCAATCCGTCCAGCTCAGGTAGGTCCAAGCACTGTACTGGGATTTACCTCTGCGTATCATCTAAGACTATACTTTTACATCTTCAGCTGTCGGGTTGAGAAGGTAGAGTACACACCTGCTCATAGCTTTGTTCAAAAAGTGTTTCAGTCTGTTTCCAGGCCCTTCAAAGGCGACAAGCTCGATGGAATTGAAGAAGCCTGCGTCGTACAGCTGTGGATAGAAACGGACTATGCCGACATAAAGCCAAGTGTAGGCTTCTCATATTGCTCCCGTGTGTTATACGGCGATTTGACCAAGCATAGGTGCGATCGACTCGAGTTAAGCTCGGAAGGCGCCCACCGCGTGAATTACCTCAAGCAGAAAACGTACCCTTCAGGCGATTAGCCATCTTTCACTATAATAAAATCATTGTTGTTCCCTGTGAGTAATCGTTTCCTACTTGTGCCCTTTTCTCCTTGCTTGCCTCATAACGCACAACTCACCTGATGCCAAAAGTCGCTCTGAATTGGACAACAGCCATAAGGAGTGACGAAACAGATGCGAAAATCCTGCACCTGGAACTTAGAGATGCAAGAAAGGACCCCAGCTTCAGTGCAGCGACTCTCAATGTTAGTCCTGACACTGACCCTGGGGATCATTGCTATCCGGGCATTCCACTCGACACAACGCTCTTGAAAGAACAGGAAGAGAGCAATCGATTCGAGTGTTCACAGATTGTTGTTCATTTCAAGGACATACAAGGTACGCTTTCAATTTTTTTCTTTTTGCGTTCACCCAAGCCATTACAAATTAGTATGCTAAACCCGTGATGGTTTTTCCTTTCAAGAACGGAACGAATTTGAGAAACAGTTCAAGGATATGAGGCTTTATTGGAGAAGATCGTTGACCCCTATGAATCGGAGGCTAAAGAGTTAGGATCATATTATTTACCAGCATATTCTCAATGTTTTCACTCAGACCAGCATTTACGGATTTTGCAAGTAATATCCCGCACTTCTCCGGTCAATCATCTTATGTTGGCGTTCCAATACTCGCCACGCGCCCAAAGTCACCAACAGAAATATAACTGCCAATACTACAAATATAACAATGTCCTCGCTCACATGTAGGGATATTTTCCCACCTGTCTCTTCTTTATTCAGCGTCACATATCCTGCACTGAGAAACTGGGCAATAAACGATGCAGGTAGGTACATCAAAGTCACGATCGTTATCATCTTGAGAGTGTGCCCATCCTTGTACGACTTTTGCGCGATTTCAAATATCAGCTGATTACCTGCCTCCGTTCGTTGAGACAATTCAGTAGCAATATACGCATTTGCTTCAAGTGCTTCGAGGCTGCGGACTTCGGACATGCCGTGTACAAGGGTTGAGGTGGATTCGAGCATCTCTAGTATGGCAGAAAGTCTCTGAATCTGTTCCGTAGCGAGGTTAAAGTGGTTGTTTATATGTTGGTTTCCTCGAGCTGCGTTTCCCCTTGACTGAGTATGGTCATTCATGACTAAAGCCTCTGAGGAAGAATGTGATATCATGTCGCTGACGGCTCTAAATACTGTACAGTCGGCAGAAAGATGTCGCTTTGCGTCACAAATACTATTTCGTATAACTTCCATATCCTGAGCGTCAGTTATACTTATATCTGGCTTTCGCCATGACTTAGTATCCGGTGTATAAGTATTTGTCGCGCTATAAGCTTTTAATTTCTATATCGCTGTTAACTTTATAGTTTGTAATACATTAAATACGCATTGAAGATCTGTGACATACCACTTGCTGAAACCGTTCGTCAATCCAACCAATATAGCTTGTCCAATTCCTGGATGTGTACGAAAACAACAACAAATGGATATCTTCCCATAATGGATTAACACCCTTGTGAGTCAAGAGGCCTGTCAGCCTTGCCCGCAGATGCTTCGGGCTATTCACAAGTATGAAATCATGGCTTCCCAGCTTAGATTTACGTTTGTGATAGATTCCCATCTGGCGTATCGACCAAGGGTTGTTTATTTCTTCTTCACGCCCATGTTCTTCCACGTAACGGAGATGATAAGCACATTCTACACATGTAGAATTAGTCACTGGATCTAAGAAATCTTGATCAGAAAGGCCGCTTGAAGAAGTTGACTCACCATGGGTTTCTGGCAGTGTATGTGAAATGGTCCGGAAACTGCCATGACTGTCACTTTGTAGGCATGTTCGTTGTCCAAATGTACTCAAGATTGCAAGGAATTCCGGAAAGACGGCAAGTGACGAAAACAGTTTCCGGGCAGCTTCGCTTGTAATGGTGAGAGCTCCCCAGGAAGATTGCTGGGACAACATACTTGCATGAAAGCTTTAAATCAGCATGATTGCTCTTTGCATTAACTCTGAATACTTGCCATACAAAATACGGATTCCCTCGAAAGTGCTCGACTCCTGACGATTTGGTAAACAACATAAATTCCGGGACTCGGTAGTATATTAGCACATGAATCGGGATCATACAAGGAGATATGTTTCAAGAGTCTCTGCACTCTTGATGACGATTTCTATGTAAGCCAGACGCTGTTAACACAATCAAATCTCCTTTGCTAGTAACAAATGCATACCCTTAACTCCAACCTCGATCACACGAATACGAATGCACTCCCCGGTGATGAATATACGGGAAGACTCGTGAGCCAATCGTTCACTAATAAAATCGAGGTCGTATACGAACGGGCTGCAGATGGCTGGTGAAAGATTCGCTGGGTAACTTTTCCACCCGTGCCATGGCTCTGAAGTTTTGGAGTCTTGATATTTTGACATGATGCATTCAGCGATTTTCTCTATTTCCTCCACACGAAATTCCATAACAGGAAGGGAATCTGATATACTAATATATGAGTTACGTTCCTTCTCTCTCTTTTATTTCACTGCCATATGACGCTAGGCGTGCATAAGTGGCTATGCTCCATACTCGTGAAGGGCGCAAGGCTCTCTGCTGGATTCAACCTGACTCGGATTCCGGAGGAAAGTTTCGACTGCACTGCCAATATTTTATCCATCTAGAATTTTACAAATACGATTGAAAACGATATGGAACTTTAATGAATAATGCATGCTTCTTTACGGTAAAACATGTAAGTGATGTGGCGTCATTTTCCCGCAAATGCTGTCATTTGACTAACCATCCGAATCCATTTCAAAGTGTTCTGGATAACTTTTCCTCTGGATTTCGATTATCTCAGCCTATGGACCCCTATTAGTTACCTATCATACGATGCAGTAGGGTCATGTCTCTATATTCGTTTTCTAAGTTCTAAAGCCTTGTTAGGCCGTAGGAAGAAGAAACACAGCTTACCTGAGTGAGTTCTCTCTTTAGCCAGAGAGTGTGGTATTCCTCGAGGTTCTAAATTACCATAAAGATTAGAAAACTTTGTTTCTATCAGCAAAATGAAGATTTCTAATGTGTAAATACCTCCCAAGTCCAAGACGAACCAAACTCGTCAATATTAGCTTCGATGAAGGCTCGAAGAACAGCGGCTTTAATGTATCTTTTGGATAAAGTCTGTTTTTCGTACCCAGGAGTGCTAGGAGGTGGCATTGCGGAATATGGTATTGGCCTTTTTAGATGTGGTGTATTGCTGAAATGGGAAGTTCCTCTTTGTATCTGGAAAGAGTCGCAGGGCTGACATTTGTCCCACAAACACAATACGATGAGGCTAAGTAGTGTTGCCTAAACTCTTGGGAGTCAGCCTTGCGTTTGCTGCCTAATTTTTAGTTCAAACATTGAGCCTCAGAGATTAGTAATTGTCCTTGCGCAAGGCTGTTGGCTTTCTTTTTTTCCCCTTTCTTGCAAACTTGCAGGATGTTGTGGAAAGAAATTTTATTCATTGAAATAACAACGGAAATGCAAATATTATGAGATGAAACGCCCAACAAGTTCATTAACACACAATCGGGCCCGAAGACTGGGTATTCTAGCTAATTCGACTTCAATTGAGTTAAACGACATTCCTCCGTCTGGAAACACAGCAGCCGAGCCTACAAGTAATACCGATATCTCAAACGGACACACCGAAATACTTGGACCGCTATTGTCCGACAGTAAAAATGGGGGGTCCACGAAAAATGATCAAAATGACGGTTCCTCCATCTACGACACGGCGTCGGATGTGACCGTTGTTACACGCAGTCTCAGGACATGGGACGTTGCAGCTTTGATTATAAATAAAATGGTCAGACCACACAAAGTTTTCCTCTCAATTGAAAACTACAAAAATCCTAAAGACAAATAATTGTTAGATTGGCACAGGCATTTTTACCACGCCAGGCGTGGTTTTGTCTTTGACGGGAAGCAAATCGATAAGCATAGTTTTGTGGCTCSTTGGTGGTGTACACACACTCCTTTGGTAAGCCTGAAAGCCTGAAGGCGCTAGTCAAGAATTTTCACGTCTTTATCACTAAATCTATTATGCAGTCTTACGGTATATTTGGAGTTTGGAGATTCCCTTCCGTATACCGGCGGAGAATTGATATACGTAAGTCCTTGCACGTTACACGGCGCCAAGATTGAGCGAACGAGAGCTGAAATTAATCCTACCATAGCTAGATGAGATGTACTACAGACCAGAGCTGCTCGCCACTATACTTTTCTCCGGATTTTTCATCTGTTTCGGAACATCGGTATCCAATTCGATAGCTTTTGCAAGGTATGTTCTGCTCGCTGCCGAATCCCATATACAAAAATTAGGCGATCTAGACGGAAGATTGGTCGGATACGTTGCTATCACAATCAATGTCGTTACCTGTCTACTTCTTTACTTCTCAAACGGTTTGGCCCTTGCCCTCAATCGTTTGAGTGCTCTTTACAAAATCGGCCTACTACTGTCTGTCTTCATTGCGGGAGCTGTAGCAAGCAAACAACAAGATTCTGGTACCCATGATTTTGAGACCACATACAGTTCAGACTCAACGAAAACTCTGTCTGCTCTTGTCTACATATTGTTCGCATATCAAGGATGGGAAAATGCCAACTATGTCTGTAAAGACGGATATCAAACAGATTACCAAGATGCTAACACGATGATTTAGGTCGCAGGAGAAATCAAGGCGCCGAGAAAGACCCTTCGCAATGGTGCCTATCTGGCGGTATTTATAGTCACGACGTTATACATTCTCGTGACTATCGGTCTTGTCAGTATTTACCATCCTGCATATCTTATCACAGTTATCTGAATTATGGCTCTCTCCTGCAGTACCTCGCTTGTAACTATGCTAGTGCAACAGATGACACAGCCAGTCTTGGTCCTACCATTGACATGGCAAACAGAGTGAGTAATGTGAAAGCACAATTCTATATAGTTTGCTGAGGTACATCATGGCTGACCTCAAATTCGAAGGTATTCGGGGGTAGCCTAGCCATGAAAATTGCAATCGCACTTTCTGCATTTGGCAACATGATTGCTGTAACATTCACATCATCAAAAGGTATATCTTATACCTCTTGTCCCTCGGCTTATAGACTTGTTTATAGTGCTGATAGATTTGGGTATAGTGAAGCAAGCTATAGCAGCTCAGAAGATCATTCCCTTCTATCAATTCATCCTCAAAAATGATAGACGTTTTGGAACACCTGCTGGTGCTTTGGTCCTGCATTGCATATTTACAACATTAATGATTATTGTCACGATGGTCGTCCATCCCGATGGATACAATCTTGTGCTCGCTGTATTCACATATGGACATACAATTGTTGCAAGTAAGCTGACCAACGTACATTTATCATGAGAATTTTACCACCAAACGTCAAGGCTGTTTTATCTTCGCTGGTCAAAACAATAACTGACTTTATCTAGCATTAGTCGGAGCCAGCGCATTCTGGATCACAAAACGACTTGGCAGCAGACCACAAGGCTGGAAACCAGCGTACATCAAAAACTCCTTTCTTCGTCTGATCCTCGCTACGCTTTTCATTGGCCTGAATATCCTGATTCTAGTCGAAGGTGCACAACTACACACTCCCGGCGATATTCCACGGTATTGGTGGCCTGCTATATCTGGGATTATCGTCACTGCATCCTTTGCTTATTGGTGTGGATTGCGAGTTTTAATGCTACCGAATCCGTTCGCTTCAGGCCTGGGGTTGAAACCCAGAAATGATAACGCCAGGGGAGTTAGTTCTTCAGAGGAACTACCGGGAGAAACAATCGGTCAAGCCCTTTTCGGGGTAAATATCAATATTATCTATGAAGACAGTTCTGAATATTACCGAGACGACGCCGAGTATTCTACCCTTGGCTTCATAGATGGATCGAGAAGGAGGATTTTGTACACTGTATGTGGAAAGCCTAACCTCTTTGTTCTCGACAATGGCTGATATTGTTCTCTCTCGCGTTTTATGACAGGTCGATGAAGCTGGATTGTACGCTACTGTCGGTGCCTTATTCAAGACGATTGGTGGTTTTTTCGCGAATTACCTCTGACCTCGGACAATATGCAATTCCTCTCACTGGTATGCCCTCCAATGACCATCTCAGTTCCTTGCGAAAACGCAACGCATAAGGTCCCGGGACGTAGTTGATACAATTACATTTTACATTGAGTGTGATTACAGTTAAGTTGGAGTAGGTTTGTTAGAAATGATTGTTATGTATACTAAAGTCATTATGTTCTTTGTATTTTTCTTTGTATTTAGACATCATCGAACGAACCAAAAGACTATCCACAAGCCTACAATAACGGTGAATAGTGGTTTGTTGTAAGAGCGTGGTGACAGGTTCTTACCCGGGAATTGCCCAGTGATTGAGAAATGCTTTTTGTAAGCCCGCTGTCATATTACAAACCATTGACACCTCACTGTAACCACAAAAGATGACAACCCGTCTGGCTGTCATAGCACGGATATCCGACGAAAATTAGCTATACTATAAGTCAGTAATCTTATGGCAATCTTACGGAAGGCTTGCAAGGCTTAATTTGATGCGCGTCTCCCTAATCATCTAGCTTAGAGCCTTCCGCTCTCATTACCATATAGATATGTATATATATTTTGACATTGAATTGATTCCAACCTGGCGCGCTCCTGCGCCCTACACAAATCTCACGTATGACCTGGAAGGCCTCGATTTGGGGTTCAAATTTGGTGTACGAATTCTACTGATTGATATGCACTTTTTTAAAAATCTAAGCTCACGTGCGATACCTCATTCTAGCGTTAAATTTGGTGTGTAAATTCCCCTAACACCCAATCTAGTTGGTTTTAATTCCGCGTGATTCCCTGTAATTATTTAAATCCTTGATTTCTCCCATATCTCTCCCCCCCCCCCCCCGGCGAAATAGAGTGAATCCCCAGTATGGACCATACTGGGCTGCTAGTAGGATTAACACATTCTCAGCCGCGCCACGATAATATTCAAGTTCTATCACAGCAGGGCAATTTAGTAGAAATATGTGGGGTGGGGAAGTCTCTCGATGGTTGAGAACCATTGGACTGCATCTCGACGATGTGTCTACACCATCACCTTATACCCGAAGCGTACAGGCATATCCTGATAGCGAGTCTCTATTAGTTCTCTTTTATCGATCGATATCATCGTGCCAATTGTTGGATTACCGGTGGGTTTTGGCTAAGGCAGAATTTAGATTTCAGCATCCTGAGATGCGCTAGAATCATAGGCCATACGGCTATAAAGAGCCTCCATCTGCACTTCTACTTTCTTCCTTCCATTGACCACTCTTAAATCGTTCATCATGGATGGATTCGATGTCACCAAAGATGGCATGACAAAGCTACTGACGTCATTATCTATTCTCCCAAAAGTTTTCGTTCGCGGGGTATGTTCTTTCCCAACTCGCAGGGTGAGTCATGCGGGTTTCATATCCTGAGGCACACTGAGGGCTTAATAGGAAGATAGCTTCTATCATTTAAAAATACAATAAAGAGCACTACCACGCACTACAAGATGTATGGCATTGTTTCACTGTCAAGCTTACATTAATAGATCATCTTGAGCAACAGATACCCGGAGCTGAATCTCCTTAATTGTGTCAAAACACTAAGAAGCAAAGATACTAGAATGCAGAGACAGCCGTAAGTTTTATGAAAGCTCATATACCAAAAGGTGTGCTTAAGTAATAATTATAATCTAGCTTTTTAAGGTTAATTTTTCTTAGTAGTCAATTTTATCTGTAATTATTACTGGCTTCGCTATAATTAGGTATTTTGGATAGTCTAGTTGTTGGAAACACCTGGCAGCAGTTTTGGAGGTCGGCTTTGACATGATGATCTCTATTCTAAAGAATATATCACACCAGTTTTATGCTTTGATTTCTTTATCCTCTTCGGTTTGCACATTTTGCTCAGTCTTCCCATCCTGCAGGCCAAGTAGTGGCAGTCCACGATTCACACCAGTACTCCCGATCATGCCCAATCGCATAAGCGCAGTAGTACCTGGGATGATCATATCGAATGTCTCTTTTACCACCGTATACTGAAAATAACCTAAGCGAGCAATTGGCAGAGCTTTCTTGACATCCAAGATCCCATCCGTCAACACCTCATCCTTGATATGAATCGCAATCACTTTACCGATTACAATATCGACTGTGCCCGTGGGTGGATTTCCTGGTAATCGGACGGTGGAGTGATATTCACACTCAAATTTAACTGGCGATTCCCTGACCATAGGTACATCCATAAGAGTAGCTTGCTCTTTGGAGATGTACTGCGATGCCCGTTCGAACTCGTCAACACCATAGGCGACACCTTCACCAGTTATGTTGACGGCTTCCCGCAAGTCCCAGGTGGCCATGTTCCAAACAAAATGCTTTGTTCTTTCGGCATTTATGACGCTGTCTTTGCGGTCGCCGGTGAACTTTTGTTGCGCGGAGAACATGACATATGGCGGGTCGAAAGTGAGATTGTTGAATTGTGAGAAGGGGGCTAGGTTGTCAACCCCGTCTTTGTTTCTCGTTGATATCCAGCCAATCGGTCGGGGAACCACGCATGCCTACACAAGTTAGTCAAGTACAAATCAATGCACAGCAAAGGTGAAACATACCTTGAAAGGATCATATTTCAGACCATGCTCTGTTTTGCCGGGCTGGTAGTACATTTTTAATTGCGCAAAGATTGGTCGAGCAATTGGTTTACGAGATCATTTCGCAGACCAAATAGCCAAGTACCCTCAAGGCTCTTATATACTTTCAACAATACCTCTTGTTTGCTAGTAAAATGCTCTAAGTGAAGGGTAAACCACGACAGTAACGTATGCATGACTCGTTTAGATGCAATGCCAAGCAAAATCTCCGGTCTCACAGATCCATGGCGGGTCGGAGAATTTCATTATATACTCCGAACGGCCTCGTCCAGGTCAGCCAAACCCGTTCTAGATAAAATATCAGTCGCACCTCTCTATACATTACCAACGTTAACAACCTTATTGAAACCATGAAAGGGTCACGGACCTGGATCCACCTTAGTTAAACAGTGTTATGTTGTATGCTAGGCTTGATTAAACTATATAAAAGTTCTTTAAGTAATAGTTAATAGCATACATTAAATAATGGCGCCAAAGAAGTCAACCATCTCACTCTCTACTTCTTTGAGATACTCGTAATTCCCGTACTGAACACGCGAACCGGATGCACTTAGTTCAAAACCGTCATGGCGAGCTATCTCCTCCAAGAAAGCTTCTCAAATGCGGCTAGACCGGTTAAATGAGAAAGTCGCTAGTCGGCTAGTTTAGGACACTTTTGTCCCATTGTAGCTTTGCAGTCATAAGTCCATGGCCAGCGCGTCAAAACATCCAAAGCAGGCTCATTCTTCAAGATTGAAGGGAATGCTCCCGCAACCATGTTTTTAGCATCAAGTCAAAATAACATGGTGAAAGGTTGTTTATGGATTTTAAGCAATAGGATGAGGAGAGGAAAAAAGAGGATAAATTTGATTTGTTCAAGATTTGATAAGTTTTTTTTTCATATCACGTGCTCTGCCCCGGCATCTTATATCCATTTTCGTCCTGGAATACGACACATGGAGAGGTAAAAAAAACGAAGCTTTTCGGTAGCAATGGCTAAAAGGCTATACAGCGGATCTATTGCTCAAGCTTTCCATACTTTGGTCTACGCATGAACCATCCGTGGATAGGACACCCAAGTTTCTCTCGCAACTTGGTAAATTCCTCAGACGGATCCCCGGTGGTAGCATCCAAATTAAGCTCCCCTTCCACCTTAAAGCCGAATGCTTCATACAGTTGAAGTCCAATATCCGTAGCTTCTATATATGACGGCAAGCCCCATTCATCAGCCTTTTTTATCCCCCATTCCATTAATAGCCGGCCGACGCCACGGCGTCGATGCTTAGGATGTGTAAAGCAAAAGTTGAGTACTGTGGGCCCGGACGATACAAAGTTAGCCTTCATCAAAACCTTCTTGGGAAATAGCCTTACGTATATGGGGTTCGTTCATCCGCGTAGGGCGGTAGCTTAAGAAACTATGGAGAAGCTGACCTGCTATGTCTTTGAAGGTACCTGCCATAGTCTAAAGTCAGCCTAAAGAGGCCATCACAGGTAACACATTTCTCTATACCTTCAGGTATCCAGTATGGCGTCAGCATCGCTGTTTCCTTGGCGTAAGGATTTTCTTTATAGATGTTCCATTGTGCCCCGCCGATTACGCTTCCTGTCTCTTCGTCCGTTACGTAGATCCAGTTGCTACTGGGGTCGCCTTTATGCCAAGACGCTTGGCGGGCACAAAATTCTTCTTGCGACGTGCTGCCATAGAATACCTGCCAAAATCCGAAAAAGGGATCGTTAAAAGCTTCAGTCTCGACGGCAACAACAGGACCGAACTCTGCATCGGTGGTGACTTCATGGAGTTTGAGAGACATGCTGAAGTGGTAAAGAAAGTGATTGATTCAGAATGAATGAATGAGTGAAGTTTAATACGCCCGACTGAGTCTTAAAGGGCAGTACTCGTCTCGTCGCAGACCCCACCCTTACCCGGGTTAGGGTCCGCCTTAGCCACCTAGCCATCCCGGCCCCCACTTTCGGCACTAGCTCGACTACAGTGGAGTACAGCCCCAAAATGGGAGCGCGGAAGGCCCCGTCTTATAGTTTGTTGATGGAGAATGTTACCGCCATGCAATACTCAGCTCGGCCTTTCTTCTTCCCTTGCATTGCTTTTACACTCCCTAGCTAGGTATCCAGGTATTCAGAGTCTTGTTATTTCAGGCCCAGACCAGTTGCTCACAGCGAAACTCCGTTTTCCACATGAATCCTAGAGCTACTCGATTAAACACGTTATCTATACGTACCAGCTATATTCTATTCATATTCCTGGACAAGTCTCAACCACTGCTACATTTCCATACCACGCCAGCTTTTCTGCCGTCATTGTATCTTTCCTCACAACGAATCCGACAAGGGATGTGCATGTTTACATAGGCATTTCTGAGATATCCGCCACCACCATGACTCAAGTAATAATCTCAAAAACTAAATTATTTAAAGATCCTGTTAATTAATTATAGATTATATATTTTTTTATTTCTATAGGAGGAGAGTAGAAACAGTTTGAAAGACTTAAAATCTTTTGAATTAATTAATTTATTCAAGAATTTTAAACTAATTGCTTATATTTTTTTAATTCTATTATAACTTTAAGTMCGCTATTAATTTAAATAAATAAAAATATTATATAATATTTCATTATTGTCATTACTTATAATATAATTATTCTAACATTATTTGAATTATTTCAATATTATATTTTTATTCTATCAGGTAGTAATATTATAAATTTATAATAACATAAATTTAATTAAATAAAATAATTTTGATAAATAATAGATGATAGATAATTAAAAGATCAATTAAAACTATTAATTAGATTCTTTTTTAAATTATTTATCTATCTGGACTAGCTAATCTAGTCTTAGTTCCTGTAAACCCCCGTTGGCTGTAACCGTGAATTGTTCACGAGTTCAGTATAATCTATAGAAAGTTGGCACTCTAAAGTGAGTGATATCGCAGTTTTGCATGGAAAAACCAGCTAGCATACTGACCCGTGTGGTGCACTGACCCATGAACTACATTAGTGCGGGGGAGAGGCAAAGAAATTCATTCATCCGCATCCAACGCGTCACATATATTCAAATGTGAGCGTTATTATAACAGATTTTCCCTGCTACTCACTCAGCGATTATTTATAGATTATTACAATCACGTGAAGTCTTTTAATCAGCAAATCCTATTGGAAAGCTAGATTGGTCCACCTTGAATTGCTTCACAATGACCGACGGAGCAAAATGTATCATCTTGTGCCTTGATGGTACCTGGGATAACAGTGACAATAGCTACCAGAAGCCGACACCCCGAAATCCTAATACCTCGCTACAGGTTCCCTCAAATGTTACTCGCGTCTATCGCGCCCTGGCAACACAAAGCCTAGATGGCAAACGTCAGGTCATGTACTATCATCCTGGTCTTGGTACTTCCGGTAATATTACTGACACCATTGCCGGCGGTGCATTTGGTGCGGGAATATCCGAAGTAGGTCAAGTCGTACCATTGATTGGAATGATGTCTGACTAGCGACGATAGAATATTAAGGAAGCGTATAATTTTATCGCGATTAATTATGAGCCCGGAGATAAAATTATAATTGTGGGCTTCTCTCGTGGCGCTTTCACTGCGCGGAGCGTAGCAGTAGGCATGTCCGTTCCCGAAACATTGAATCACTTATTCATGATAGTAGGGACTTATTACTGAGATCGGCCTACTCACTCGCAAAGGCATGGAAGATTTCTATCCAATATTTAAAGACGCAGAGAACTCAACGAATCCTCATTACAAGGATAAGTYCCCTACTGTMCCTTTCCCCGACAAGCCGAAACCACCGAATCGTGAAGAGGAATACAAGCGTCGTCTCGAAGAGGTATTCCTTTATTTTACATCAAATCATGTTCGATATCATCTAACATTGCGAAAGGGTGGCTTCACACGAGTATTTGACCCAGATGGACGCCATATCAAAGTTCGATGCGTCGCAGTCTGGGAGACTGTTGGAAGTCTAGGTCTTTCAATCTTGAAATCAGCATTGAGCGCAACGTGCTGATATTGAACAGGTATTCCAGAGACAAATATTGGTAATCGACTCGGACTACCTCTTTCTACTAGACAATAAGTGCCTTGCGTTTTCTTAATCGTCAGGAAAATACTAACAATTGCTTACATATAAGTTCTACGACACTTCTCTGTCAAACGGAATCGAGTACGCCTTCCAAGCTCTGGCACTTGACGAAACTCGCACTCCTTTTGCTCCGGCCGTTTGGGAACGGCCAAACAATGTTCGGACCGATTTACGACAGGTATGGTTTCCCGGGTCTCACGCGAATGTCGGTGGTGGATATCCTGATCAAGAAGCTGCCGATATCAGCATGGCCTGGATGATGGATCAACTGGCTTCCATTGGTATAGGCTTCGAACATGCAACTATCGAGAAAGTCTTTCGAGAAAATGTCTCCTACTACTACAATTCTCGCTCGAAGGCGAGATCAAGCGCAAGTGGTTCCAAACGCAAGACTTGGGCTCAATGGGCGATCTCTTCTGTCTATAACGAGCATAAGCCAGTCCGCCCATGGGGCTTGGGTCAAATATACGATGCCGAGGTGGGCTTCTATCACCTCGCTGGTAAAACGGTTCGCAAGCCTGGGATGTATCATCGCATAAATCCTGATACAAGTTCTCCGACTCCTGAGTTTCTGGTCAATACGAACGAGCGCATTCACCGCTCTGTTCGTATCCGACTAGGTCTCGATGGCCTGGGACTCGACGATATTGGATTGTACAAATGCCCTGCTCTCTTCGAGAAAGGGCCTTGGCGTCTCCGACGGATGCGTACCAGGACCTGGGAGCTCGATCCTCGGTATCCACCTTGGAGTCTTTCGGGTGATCCAGGTGAGATACTGGATGAGGGTCGAGACTTTTGCTGGGTGTGGGTATATGCCGGACCCAGGACTAATGCGCCGCCGGAAACAATCATGATAGAAGAAACGCTGGGGCCATATGAACGCAAATTGCTCCGTCTTAATAAAGGTAAGTCAGGCATATTTGTTGATATATTAAGATTTTCTCTGCACGTTTTAGTGTATCCTTCACCTATCCTACACCTTTGGTTCCCCTAGACGCGTAGTAAGCTACAGAGGTATAGTACTTGTTTAAATACGATGCGTTCAAGAACCCTAGATCAGGGGTGATGAAACTCTCGTTCTCAAATCACGGCTGCCTTGGGATTTTCTGTGTAGGAGCTAATTCTTGATCATCCCTTTGATAGGTCGAGCATTTTATACGAGCCTTATTTCTGATAGGATGAGCTGGCGTTGAAGATGATGGAAGAAAACGGAAAGCGACGTGGTGAAGTAGGCCGATCCTGGGATCATAATATATAAATTTACGAACGGTTGCATCGGCTTGGAAAGCGCAGAAAGGGGAAGCCCACAATTAAAAATGAAGCGGCGATTAAACATGGATGACATTCCTTTATTTGCGCTGTTTCTACACAATAGCCCTCCTTGGGAATACATTAGTGCTGGGCTCGGCAGGATGGGTCTGGGTATTGTGGCTATGTATACTTCGAGGGGAATCGATCATATTCAGTAGGCACGTAATTTGGCAATGGACGCTATTTCTGCCGTTATGGCTGTTCATATTCCTTTACCAGTGAATATTGGCTCAACCAGTCGTTGCGATTGACTTTGCAGTCCCCGGATTAGAAAGTCAAATAGCGAGTATAGTGCTACACTCTTTACTTGATCCTAATTCTACTTGTAGATTGTTATGCTGAATATTATATAGCTTTAGTTAGAATTGAGTTAAATGTCACTGTTCCAACGTTGGAGCCTGCTTTGGGCGGAGACGGTGCCAAGGCGGAGCAATTTGAAAAGACCAAGGAACTCAATACAGATCTCTGTTCTATGAGTTCAACGTCTTGGGAATGGCTTCACCAAGCGCTGTGTTATTTGTTTATTGCATTGTTTTCGTTAAGGGTCTTTTTACGGATTTGTAGGCATGATCCGTCAAGAATCATGCCCTAGAGCAGACGCAGACATAAATATGGGCTTCCTCCCCTGTTGATTAGTTTCTTCTCTTCAGCTCACGTCTTGTTGATTTTCTAACGTAATCGGTAAGCGAACCGCCACTGTAAGTGGGTCGCCACTTTTTCCCGAACCCGTACGCGATATTGATTCCAAATTCTATTTTTCAATTCTCTATATAATTCTTATATAAAAAATTAACTAGTAGTACAACTAGGATATTAGATTATTTTATATCTTTTAATATTATAATTACTACAGCGATATTAGCAGTATATAATTAGTTAAGAAGCTAGGAGCTCTAGCTTAATTAGAGTAGTAGTAATAATTTAAAATACTTTAATCTGATTTTATATAAGTATATAAACTTTTTTTCTAATAATTTTTTACTTAATAAATATCTATTTATTAAATTTTTTATAATTTTATTTTTCTTTTTTATATATAGCTTAAAAATTATTAACTTCTTTCTATGCGAGTAGATAGTTATTTCTAGCTATCTTATAAGTCTTTAATATCTATAAAAGAATTTAATTAAAATCTTTAAATAGATTTTCTATATATTTATTTAGATATTTTTTAATTATAATTAACTAGTATACAAATTAATATATATTTTAAAATATTTATAAATAAGATAATTATATATTGCTTAATTAATTAGAAGATAATATTAGAGTCTTTAATTAAATAGTAAGTTATTATATAACTTAATCTAGATTAAAAAATACTAATCTAGTAGSTATTATTATTATTATTATTCATATTTAACGTCTATATGCARCCTTATGGGTTATGACAGACACATGCCGGGTAAGGCMCTAGGCCCTA